CACATAAAGGCCCTAAGTTACCCGTGGAGCCCCTGGTATAACCGTCCCCTGGTTATCAGAGGGTCGGCCCTGGTCACCTGGAAGGCCCTGGTCAATTGAAAGACCCCTGGTCAATTGTAAGGCCCCTGGTCACCTGAGAGGCCCCTGATTACCTGAACTGCCCGTGATCACTCGGATTCAATGGTATGGCCAGGGGCGAGGGGGCACGTCTCCGTTATAGGGTTTAGGGTCCCCTCGGGCCCGAAAGGCCCTGCGGTGCCAATTGGCGGCAGAGGGCCCGCGCTGGCAACGCTTCAACTGGAAAGGAGACCACAGGGCTTGTGAGAACACCCCATGGGCTCTTGTGTAGCCACACTTATCTCCAGAAGGGCCTCACGCCAGGTTCTGAGGGACCTTGCCGGCCCTGAGGGCTCTTGCCGGTCAATAAGGGATCAGCTGTAAGGGCCCCATACCCGTTTGCTAAATGCTATGGTCCCACGGCCCACACCGGTGTTTCTGAGGGCCCTCACAACGGCGCCTCCGAGGGCCTCCACTGCCACCTCTAAGGGCCCCACACCAGTGCCTCTTAGCACCAGTGCCTACTTCGGCGGCTCTAAGAGCCCCACACCGGCGCCTCTGAGGGCCCTATGCAGCGCCCTATGCATCTGACGGTCACTTACCAGCGACTCTGGGGGCCTCTTACCGACCTCTGAGGGTCCCTTGCCGGCCTATGAAGGACCACCAGTAACTTTCAGGGCCCCACACACGCCTAAGTGATGGCCCCCACCAGTGTCTCTAAGCCCATAAGGCCCTCACAACGGCGCCTGTGAGGACCCCACACCAGCGCATCCGACGGCCTTTCACCGACACCTCTGAGGGACTCTGAGTCACCTGTACTTATGTATACAGGTGACTCTGAGGCGCTCGCTCGCTTCACTTCCTCATAAAATACCGTGCATTTTATGCACACTTCTCAAGCAAAAAAAAGAAGATATTTTTACCTGCCAATTCTGCACATTTTCTCGGGGCTTAGACAGACAGACAGACAGACAGACAAACAGAGGGGCCCGTCTGCAAGGGGGAACCGGACCCACCATGTGCCCAATCCCCTCATCGGAGGGTTCTGGATACGCCCCTGCCTGGGTTGACAGCGGCATCCGGGTGACCTGTGGGGGCCCCTTTGAGAGCAGGCGGCCCCCTCCTGGGCGAAATCCTGGGTACGTGCCTGCTTGAGTGTCCCAAGAGAAATGACCTTCAGGGCCTCATCCAAAGTACTGGCCCAAGCATAAATAAAGTCAAACTGCGTCAAACTATCTTAAAATGCCATTTGATGGCCCTCATAGGCCCTCAGAGGCCAAGGCCGAGCCCCCAGAGGCTAGCGTGGGCCCTTAGAGGTCGCTTTGGCGGCCATAAAGAAGCTTGGACTCGAGCGTGGGATCCTTTGACGCTGGTGTAGAGCCCTAAGGAGCCAGCGCTAAGCCCTCTAAGGCCAGCGTGGGGCCCTCTAAGGCCATTGTGGGGTCTTCTAAGTCCAGTTTGGGGCCTTGTAAGGCCAGTGTGGGGCCTTGTAAGGCCAGTGTGGGGCCTTGTAAGGCCAGTGTGGGGCCTTGTAAGGCCAGTGTGGGGCCTTGTAAGGCCAGTGTGGGACCCTCTATGTTCAGCATGGGGCCGTTTATGTCCAGCGTGGGGTCTTTTAAGCCCAGCGACATGGGGCCTTCTTAGGTCAGATTGAGGCCCAATGGCCACCGAAACTAGCTTGGGGCCCTCCGAAGATAATGTGGAGCCCTTTTAGGCCAGTGTGGGGCACTCTGTGACCAGCGTGAACCCTCTGAGGCCAGCGTGGGGCTATCTGTCATCTGACTTCAGACTTCAGAGGCTGGTGCTGGGCCCTTAGAAACCAGCGCGGGCCTTCATAGGCTGGCGTCGGGCCATTAGAGGCCACCTAGAGGGCCTCGGCAGCCACTTTTCAGATCTTACGCATGTTTGAGCCCCCTGAGGTAGGAGTGGCCCTTAAAGGCCGGCGTGGGACCCTTAGGGGGCATTATGGGCTTCTGGAGACCGGCGTGGGTTCGAGAGCGGCATAGGGTCGTCAGACTGACTCAAAGACTTCCCAGAGCCAGCGGGGGGGGGGGGTGGCTATGAGGTCAGCCATAGCATGGGTCTCCTCCTGAGGCCATTATGGGGCCCGGAGGCCGGCGTGGTTCACTCTGTTGCCGGTGTGGGACCTTCAGAGGCCAGAATGAGCCTTCAGAGGTCGGAGTGAGGCCAATGTGGGCGACATAGAGCCATCAGAGTCTAGATCAGAGCTCAACCCGAGTCGGGCCCTTCTAAAGTTCAGGGTATCAGCGCAACCCTCAACCAGCGCAAGACACTAAGATAAGAGATTGACATCTGCCCCTTGAAAAATGTTACAACCGTAAAAAATTGACAAAACATTTTGCTTTTGATAATATTTAGTGGCCCCGGCGACGACCAAAGCAAAAAAAAAAACTGTGCCTACCCAGTAAACATGCCGACGTCGGCCCGACGTCGGCCGACGTCGGGGTGACGTCGGCAACTCGGCATCGACATGCCGACGTCAGCCCGACGTCGGTCCAACCTCGGCACGACGTCGGCTGGATGTCGGATATGCCCGCATGTTCCGACGTCCAGCCGAGGTCCAGCCGACGTCGGGCCGACGTCGGACCGAGATCAATTGCTGAGGTCCAGCCGACGTCGGGCCGACGTCGGGGCGACGTCGGACCGACATCGGCCGCTGTTTTGACCGTTAGAATAATATAAAATGTATGTTTCATGTTTCATAAAGAGCTTCTGTATTCAAAATATCCTGCAGGAAACTCAAATCTTCCTCCACGCCGCAACCCCCTGATCCGGGCTGAACGGGAAACTTTATCCCATTTGGGATTGCCCGTAAGCCGAGCTCGCCCGTAGCCGGGTGCGGTGAGTGCTTGGGGGCTGCTCGGCCTATCCTTTGGTCAGGCTCAGCCCCGGCAACTCACCAGGGCCGGGCCCAGTTCATAAAGAAAGGCCAGTCGCAAGTGTCACTTTGCCAAAGTGCCACTTATCAAAGGGACACTTTGGGAAACGTTGGTGCAGGTGTGTAAGAGTGGCTATATGAATCCATTGTGGGGTCGCCCTTTCCAATAAGTGTCACGTAACAGCAATGGGACCAGGGACTCTATATGAACTGGACCCAGGGTGCTCGCCAAGAAGACCAATGTCTCCATCCTATGATCCTTCCGGCTCTGAAATGGTATTGTCAGACCGAAAGGGCATAAGCCAACAAAACAAACCAATTTCGTTAGCTGGCTGCGTGGTGTAGTGGTCAGCGCACTAACCTCGCGTTCGAATGACACGGGGTTCGAATCCCATCGCCGGCTGATGCTTTTGGCGTGTTGTCCCAGTAAACATGCCGACGTCGGCGACTGGGGGGCTCGAATCCCGCCGCCGGTTGAAATTTTTGGCGCGTTGTCCCAATAAACATGCCGACGTCGGCCCCGTCGGTCCAACGACAAACGATCTCGTCAACCTCGGCAAACGATCTCGGCCCGACGTCGGCTCGACGTCGGCTGGACTTCGGCTGGACGTCGGAACATGCGGGCATATCAGACGTCCAGCCGATGTCGGGCCGAGGTTGAACCGACGTCGGCCCGACGTCGGGCCGAGGCTCGGCCCGACGTCGGCCCAACGTCGGTTCAACCTCGGCCCGACATCGGCTGGACGTCTGATATGCCCGCATGTTCCGACGTCCAGCCGAAGTCCAGCCGACGTCGAGCCGACGTCGGGCCGAGATCGTTTGCCGAGGTTGACGAGATCGTTTGTCGTTGGACCGACGGGGCCGACGTCGGCATGTTTATTGGGACAACGCGCCAAAAATTTCAACCGGCTACAGAGCTATCGATGTCGATGGCTTTTTCACGTTTTTTCTTTTTTATATTGCCGAGTGTGCCTAAAAAGACTTCCTCACATGATGAAAGTGGCAAAGAACCGCACCTGGGCGTGGCATAAGTACGCCACTACTGGGGCCCCTAAGGTAAGGGTGGGGCCCCTTGAGCAGGTTTGGCCTCCCCCTTTTCAAGATCCTGGATACGCCACTGGCATCAACCATAACCTTCTTACTGTCATGAGTAACTGATACATGGACGGAGCAGCCAAAATCTTAGCTCGACTTCAGCTGTTGGCAAATACAATTAATTTGATAAAATGGATTAGGTAATAGGTATGTCGCGGCTCGCGCAGCTTTCCAGACCAAATAATTTGTTTTTCAGCTAGCAACTTTTGGATGACTTTTTGAGGCAGCCGGCGTAACTATCAAGTACCAACTGATGATGATGATGGTACTGCAGAAATGCTAATGCATAATAGCCTAAATAACCTGCATATTAAGCGGGGTTAAAACAACATCATAACGTTAACTAGAACGCTTATATATCATAACGCTAGTTTGTAAAAGAGAGCGAGCACAATGATAACTTTAGATATTAAAAGCACCGAACGCTTACGTTCGGCAGCGAGCGTAAAAGCTATTACATCAAATGACAATAAACACCGCTCAGGCATCGTCCGGTAGGCGGTAGCTCGATGTGTCGAATAGTGGACTCCTCTCCCTTCCCTAGAGCAGCAAAACATCGACTCCTGGCCTGGCCCGAAGCACCGTCTTTTAAACGTTGTACGTTCTTAATTATACACCGTTTCACTTGTGATAACTTTGACAATTAAATGAACCTTCATGGATAAGAACTCATATATTGGTACACTCCAATATCATTGAACGTCATATATTCACGTTCATTTGCTGAGAAGGCATTCGATGTAAAATATAGGGTAACACACAGTTCACACTAATTCACTATCGCCATTGATAACTTTCTTGATATTGGTGGGTGAACGTTGAGATGGCTGAATCCGTTTTGCACTGCGGATGACGGATGTTAACCTTGCAATATATATGCTGCTTTCGCTTTCATGGAAAGCAGAAAGCCCAGCATTTGCTCTGTCCACGCAACATTGCCCAAATACACTTTTTGTTGCGCAACCTGTATTATATCTAGCAATAAATTACATTAAAACAATACACAAGTACGTAAAACGCTGCACAAACTCGCACACACACAGCCGCACACACACTTACACACAGGTAAAAATAACTTCGCCATTATTTAGAAAAGCACCATCTGGAGCAGCGATTAGTATAAAGTATGTAAAGCACAGGCCGACGACGGAGGCGGGTCGGACGCGACTGGGAGCCCACTCCGCGCTGACGACTAGACGAGCGTCACCGATCCGACAGCGGTCAAAACCCGCGGGCCAGCCCTGATATGGGGTGCAAGGCAAGGTGCAGCGGAAAACCCGGCCCGACCGGAGCCGAGCGGCCGCCGGCGGTTCGGCTGGTCGTGGCACCCACCAGCCACTAATTCACAGTGTGCGGAAGCCATAGGTTTAAAATAGATCTGCCTCCTTCTTCAGTTCCTTCTTCTTCCAAGCGGGAAGAGCGTCAAACTCTTCCCGGTCCATCTTTAGAACCTCCTGGAGGAGAGCGGGGAATTTCGTGAGAACGCAACCAATGCGGGAGGGCCCGGCCAGGAAGTTGGTGAGCTGAATATGTGTACTGAGTATGTATGCTCAAGAGGCTTCATTGATATGCGAACCGCTTGCGGTACACTTCACTACACTTCAGCAGTGATCGTGGATTGTGAAAGGAAATTGAAAGGCAATAACAACAAAGCATAATGGATTAGGTTTCTCTTTTAGCATAAGATATTTATAAAAAGAAACACTGCTCTCCATAGAATGCAGTATAAATGGTAACTAGGCGGCACGCCCCAACAATAACTGGATGTGGGCGGGAAGGTGCACACTATTCTTTGCTTTTGGTACAATACGAGGTGTGGCTAAAAAGAAACCGGACTGCTCGTGCTGGCCATAAAGTAGGGGGCCCGAAGACTAGCGAGCCACTTGACATTAATCTTGGTCATATTGTGGTGATGTGTGCCAAATGGCATCTCCATATCGCTATTATTCTTCTTTCCACAGATCTTTGTTTTATCGATGTTCGGCGGCCTTGTCACCGCCAGGCTTCTACAATGAGCTTCGAAAAAAGGAAGGAACATGACGTTCCTTGCCAGACTCAACAGAGACGCTGAATCTGTTCAAGGTTTTAATGTTATCTTAGGTCATATGTCACATGCAAGTGTTTGAATGGGTTACGAGGTTCAGCACTGGTCGTGAGGATGTCGGTGATGACCCCAAGGTCTGGAGGTCCATCAACGTTCGCGCGCATGTCGAAGTCGAGGGTGGAGACGACATTGATCGTCTTTTTCGATCATAGGGGATTCGTTCACCGTCAGTTCGTGCTGAAGGTGTACCACAGTCGACCAGCATTTCTACAAGGAAGACCCTGGACGCCTCATTTCACGAGTCAGGCGCACCAAGTGGAATTTCTGGGAAGCCAAGATCTGGGTGCTCCATCACGACAACGCTCCCGTGCATTCTGCCATTAGCGTCAAACCGTTCTTTGCCAAAAAGCAGGTCGTGGTGCTCAAGCACCCTCTTATTTGTCAGACCTATGTATCTCCCTGTGACTTTTGGCTGTTCTTTTAAATGAAAAAGGTTGTCAAGGGAACCCATTTTGAATCGGTCGAGGACATCCGGACCAGAGTGACCAGCGTCAGCGTCATCGATAAAACAAAGAGCTGTGGAAAGGAGAATAATAGTGATATCGAGATGCCGTTTGGCACACATCACGACAATATGATAAATATTAATGTCAAGTGTCTCGCTAGTTTTCGGGCCCCCTACTTTATGGCCAGCACGAGCAGTCCGGTTTCTTTTTAGCCACACCTCGTACTCTGGAAGAATATGCACTGAAAGGAGAGATCGGCCGTGCATGTATAATATGACGGCAATATGCTTCGCAAGTTTTCACCAGCACACATATATACACAATTCAAAACATGGAATACAAATGCATGAATACATTCCATCAGCTCAGGCTAGCGCTGAGCTGCTGAACGCCTACGTAGAGGTATGTTTCAGCCTCCGACGGGCTGAAACATACCTCTACCTCTACCTCTAACATATACAGTCTCCGACTAATCCTGAACTCCTAGCCCCGCTCTCCGTACTAACCCTGAACTGCAGGCTGGTCCCGTTTCCGACTAATCCTGAACTCCTGGCCCCATGAATAATCCTGAACTCCTGGCCCCATCCCCTAAATAGCCCTAAACTCCTGGTCGCTGAGATAAGTCTCCAGACGCACCGCGGGATCCACGGTGTCAGGAACCCCTAACCCTGAACTCCTGGCTTCGTTCCCGACTTACCCTAAACCTGAAGTCCCATCATCTACTAGCCATGAACTCGATCTGGCCCCGTCTCATGACTAACCCTGAACTCCTGGTCGCTGAGATAAGTCTCCAGGCGCACGGGATCCACTAACCCTGACTACTGGCCCCATCCCCTACTAACCCTGAACTCCTGGTCGCTGAGATAAGTCTCCAGGCGCACGAGATCCACGCCGTCAGGAACCCCTACTAACCCTGACTACTGGTCCTATCCTCTACTAACCCTGAACTCCTGGTCGCTGAGATAAGTCTCCAGGCGCACGGGATCCACTAACCCTGACTACTGGCCCCATCCCCTACTAACCCTGAACTCCTGGTCGCTGAGATAAGTCTCCAGGCGCACGGAATTCACAGTCATGAAGCCCTACTAACCCTGAAAGAACTGGTCCTATCCCCTACTAACCCTGAACTCCTGGTCGCTGAGATAAGTCTCCAGGCGCACGAGATCCACGCCGTCAGGAACCCCTACTAACCCTGACTACTGGTCCTATCCTCTACTAACCCTGAACTCCTGGTCGCTGAGATAAGTCTCCAGGCGCACGGGATCCACGCCGTCGGGAAGCGGGCGCTCCATCAGCATCGCCAGCGGATATGTTGAGCGAGTCAGCTCGGCAAGGATGTCCTTCGCGTCCCGTTCAAAACCGTCACTGTAGCCCTCCTGTAAATAGACGAAAACCAGGATGAAGGGGATAGATAAGCATGCACCATGAAGTTCACTCAAAAGTGAGGAAGCAAAAACTATGACAGCACTATCATAATACACCAGTATGTGCCGCAAAAGCAAATTATATGCTATAAATAATGGCAAATCAGAGTAAGGAACAGGGTGATACGATCTGCTGGTGATGTGCTAGACAAGTCGTTCATATCAACATCCAATCGTACGATCTCTTGAAGAATTGCGACAACCTTTTGCCGACCACCAATCGTGGGCGGTCGTAAGTGGTCGCATCGCCTAGTGGGACCGGGGCTTTAGCTAGACGGGCGACAATTCATCACCAACAGGTAAACCATAAAAGTGCAGACGGAGTGTGCAAACAAGCGAAGACCTTGCTCGTTGCTACCCCGTCCGTACCTCTCGGTTTAGCTCCGCCGCGTCAGTGTGCCGGCTCCAGGCGGGGAACAGGTGCTGGAAGGCTGGCGGTTCGAGCCCGGCCACGACCAGGGAGCAGGTCGGCCGGCCCATCCGGCGCCGGTACTCGAGAGCCGTCTGCAGCGCGCAGCGGCGCTCCTCGTGCCACCTGGCGGTCACACACGGACTGTAAGACAACGAACACAGGGCTGGCCGCCGACAAAAAGCGACTGATCTTAGTCACAGAGGCATTACGGTAAACACTGTAGAGGTAGACGCCTGTCAGAGCCATCTCCGGGCATGCACTCAAGAGTTCAATTTCAATTCTACCTTGGTCCCTAATTTAGCAAAACCTTTGTTTATACTGGTGATGATGCGCGTGTTATCGTGTCCGTCTCCATTGATAGCTGTTCGTGTCAACATTACAGGGGCGTAAATGCGCGCAACAGTTTCTTTAACCACCAATTTGGGAAGCTTAGCTTTAGACAATGTTGACAAATCCTTTTCACGAAGCTTATGTTAAGCAAAGGAAGATAAGAGCCTAAAAAATCGGTCGCATGAACATCAGGACGTCCAAGCGACAGGTCACAGAGGTGTGAATGTCTTCGTGAATAATTATACAACTGATTAGTAACACGTCTCGCGGGTTTTAGCGGTAGGTTTTGCACCTAGAAAATTTAGTGCACTTCAGGCTATATCTTCGTCGTCTTAAGCTTTTAAGTGTTGAAGATGCGATCGACGTGTTGGTTCACAAGCCGGCCATGATCGTGTAAAATGGCTTCATCGTAGATCGATTAGTTTCTGAGATGTAACCGAAAATGTAAAAGTGCAAAACCTACCGCTTAATCTCGCGAGGGCCGTACATACTGCGCGGTCTGCGTATCTGAGCAAAGGGAAACCACTCCAGCTTAGTGAAACCTAGCCAAGTCTCCTGGACAGACGGCACTGCCGTGTCTCCGCCCGCATCCTACCTGTACCGGGCGGCGCCGGCGAGTGCGGCCGGCTGACCGGCCTCGGGGTCGGCAGGCGGCCGCCAGCCCTGCCACACGTGCACGCCGTGTCCGTCGTCCAGCAGCAGCAGCGCCGGCTGCGGCCGCTCGTACAGCTCGCGCTGCGTGAACGGCAGCGCGCACGGCCACTCGGGCCCGGCGCGGCAGTGCAGACACGGCACGGCCGCACAGCTGAACCGGCCCGAGGCGCAGGAGAAGTGGAACAGACGCGGAGTGCAGGGCACAGAGCCGCCGACGGGCAGCGGCAGCGGCTGCGGCCGGCCGCCCAGAGCTGGAACCGGGAGCAACGGCGACTGGTTATTATCAAATACAGAGTTTTTGTGGTAAAGCATACGGGATGTGTGATGAAAGAAGATAACTGAACGGAAAATAGGTGATAAGTCTGGACTGGGTTTGACAAAATACGTTTGTCAAAAAAATGGAGTCTTAAAATGTGTTTGCGTGATATTTATCAGGAAGCGTTATTATGGGTTGTAAAGGAACTTCGGACTTAGGCAAAAAAAAAACAAGCAGTCATGAAAGATAAAACTTCAGCTTGCTTTTTTTTTTACCTGGGGTAACCAAAATCCCAAATTCTGATGGATCATAGAACTGTAGTGAAAAGCGCCACTGACATTTGCCACTTTTATCAATTCGCTCACTCTCGGCACCCACCTGTCCAGAACTCGGCGGGCTCGGCTCCCTGTTTGACCTCTGTGACCTTCAGCTCGGAGCCGGGTGGCAGCTCTCCAACCAGCTCTGGTCCGGCCTTCGGCAGTGCCTCGGCCGCCGCGGCCGCCACCTCACGACCGTGCGCCGGCAGCGCGGCACCCAGCCAGAGGAAGGCGCGCGCCCGGCGCGGTACCACCAGCAACAGCGCGGCGCGCGAGCGCAGGCTATCCGGGTGGCAGGCGACCTCGAGCAGACTGGCCTCAGAGGGTAGCTCTCCGCGCACCACCAGTAGGCGATTGCCGTCCGTCCGTCGGTCACCGTCCTCTCGTTTACCGAGCAGGATAGCCAGTCGGCCGGCGAACAGCTGGAGGAACGCGGCCGGCTCCCGGCCCTGGGTGACCCGCACCTGGACAAAGGAGGGACGGTACACAGTGAGAAACGGCGGGCCTCACAGGGCTCCAAGCAAGGGACACACGACACGTAGCGGACACATAAACACGCCGACACATGACTGCAAAACACTGTTCTCATTAGACTTGCAGCAGCAGATACATTATTAACTAGTGTTCAAACCACTATCGGCACATAATCAAACTGCCCCAATTGAGCTAGCATTCTCACCAGTGTGGCCAAATTGATGATGTTGCGGGGAAAGTCACCCCCAATGAAAAGCATAATGACATCCTCAGAAATTTTAAAATTACATCATCACGACGTTTTTGTCGTGAAAGCATACCTACCTAGTGTAGGAATAAAGACTAAAAATGTTCCAATGTACGATTCGCACCGTCATACTCGTACTGTCGCGCTTGCAATGTCGTTTTTTACATCTTTAATGACAATATTTGTTTTTTTTTTTTTACTTTCCACCAGAACTTGACGTCAGGTATAGTTTTTTCCCATATTATCTGTAAAAACTGCACCTAAAATGAGGCTGAAGACGAGTTTTTGGAAAATAGTGACATCCTCGTACGACTTTTTTATACATCCTCCCCCTAACGCTAAACCAATTTGGTCACACTGATTCTCACAGCTACAGGTGTAAATACAAACACAAATAAAGTACACGACATAATACAGTACCTTTTGGGCGAAATTACACCCACAGATATGCACCCAAAGATGGTATATCTCGCCACAATGTGTTACCTACTATCCTCCGTTTGCCGTTTCTGCTTACCTGCGGGCCGCGTTCCTGGTCCAGTTCGATGACCATCAGCGCGGACGCGCCCTTCTCGTTGACAGTACTGGAGGCGCCCTGCCAGAAGAAGTAGGCGCACCGCTGCCGGCCCACGCAGAGGTGTTTGCTGGCGCCGCCGCCCAGCCGGCGACCCGTCTGAGTCACTTGGTATACCTGCCGGGAGCAGTCGTGACCAGTGAACACACAGTGCCGGCGAGACACGAATCACAGCACTACTGAGAGTAAGGATACGGACACCCACCTTACCACTCCTGACATTACCACAACTTTTCAAAAAGTTACTAGATTTTTCTGGGGTCTGTACGCCAATTATTTATGAGCATCGTAGAAATGGTTCCTACGAGCTATACTTCAGAGACAATATCCTAGCGAACTATGCACACCGCATGGCGTATCTGCCCGCGAATGGTTTACTGACTGCAGCTTTACCCCGCACACTCACCCACTGCACGACGTAGGTGTCTCCCTGGTGCAGCAGTGCCGCAGAGTCCGGCTCCAGCGGCGTGGCCGCCGACTCGTTCACGTGCCAGGTCTTGACGCTGATTGTGGATATATCCAGCTGCCGGCGGGCCTGCAAACACAAACACACGCAAATGTAGAACCAGTACAGGGTCGACAAGTCACCAGTTTACAAAATTACCTTATCTCGCTCGGTAAACCAGCTCACATCCACTTCCAGTAATTCTCACAACGTTGTGTAGATGTTGTGCGCACCCCAGCTGATGTGCATGTGAGTTTATCTGTTTGTTTATTGGGGCTTTAGCGCGAGTCGACCGTCGACGTTGACTGACTTATCCGTGTGTTTGCTCGCATGTGCACCTACAAAGTAGCGTGGCCGGACTTACCTCCTCGTCAAAGTACTCTGTGCCACGTCCGAGGTGTTCCATCTCCAGCACGAGGTCCGGCTCGGGATGGTCGGCCGCCACCATATCGGCTGCGTCACACGGCGCCAGCTCCAGCGGCGGAGCCACCTCAGACGTCTCACCCTCGTTGTCAGGCTTCACCTGGGGAGGAGTGAAGTTAAGACAGCGTGATGAGACGACGAATCACAGCTATGACTCGTGGTAACACTCAACAGGTGTAAACTAGCGTAAAGAAATCACAGCCCGTCGAGGGATCATGAACAGGCGTAACAGGCAGGTAGGCATTCAATATGGCACCGACGGCCACCGCAGTCCGGGAGATCAAATCATCATCATGAGCATTCATGTCACGGCATCACACGAAACATTCACGGGAAACTGAGCAGAGAGTGTCACCCACCTTGATCAGTCGCGTGGGGTCGTTCCAATCGAGGAACTTCTCCCTGAACAGGATGGTCTCCATGTTCTGTCCGACCCGCCCGAGGATGCCCCAGTCGGGTCGCGGCCCGGTCAGTGAGCACCCGTCCACTGGTGAAACACCGCAGTCGGAGTAGTCGCACCCGGCCGCCCAGAGGTCCTGGCACAGCCGCTTGCCGGCCTCTCGGAGCGCGGGGCCCGCCCGCTTGCCGGTCCACAGGTACAGTTCGGCGCCGAAATCAAACACCAGCACCTGGGGATGGTGGGGGCGTAGGCAGTGAATGCGCTGGACGGGATAGCACACAGCTCAACACTAATTTACAGAGTGGCTAGTGAGAGGAACAACAGAAAGACTTGTTGGCAAAATCGCAAAAAGTGCTGACGGTAACACAAATAGGTTAAGACCGACAGCGAATCAAGAAGACACAAATGCGGACAGGGTCAGTGGTTTTTCTAGGAAAGAGCCAAAATCGTGAGTGGTAGTGTTAAAAATCATGCTCACGCAGGAAGGCTAGTGATCGCGTTGCTGTCCGCCAGTGCCTGGTACTACTGAGCCTTGTGAGCCTACCTTGTGTTCGGCGAGCAGTTCGTATTTGGGGATCTGTCCCCAGGCCTCGTGGACCGGCACCAGCTCCTCTTCAGGCGTCACCTCGTAGATCTTGTTGGTGGCCACCACCGCCGCCTCGTACTCCTCATCCTCCTCAGGAGGGCCCGCGGCTGAGGGAAGGGTCAGAGCAGGTCAGATAGCACAAACATAGGACTACCGTCTACCATACAGGCGGGCCCGCAGATGAAAAAAGGATCCCGGCAGGTCAGATGGGGTTAACAAAGGACTCTCTCAGGCCATAAGGTTGAGGGGGCTCCAGATGGTTCACTGCTGCTACCGAATCGGTCACGCCGGATGTCTTAGGTAGGAAGGAACAATAAGAAAATATAGCTACGGACTACGGGAAAGGCCACGAAAGGATCACTACGGCTAGGATGCATTCAGCTGGGATTTTAGAGGAAGCTCCATCAGGTCAGGTCAGGTTTTGTTAGATAGATGGGAGCGAGGAGAACATAGGTCCATCATCAAAAACCCATGACATATTGGTAATTAGTGGCAACTATATCTATAAACAAGAAAATTCTCACCAGGCACGTCCCCGCGGCCTCCGAGCAGCTGGAAGAACTTGCTCTCGTCGCGTCGGCTCGTCTTGAGGCCGCCTCGGTCGTCGTACTCGACAGCGGCGGGGTTGGAAGCCGAGCAGCCCAGGTCGTGGGTGCGGGAGACGTGCAGGGCCACATCGGCCGCCTTCGACTGTTCGATGACGTTACTGTAGACGCCGTTCCACTGGATCACCTGGAGAAGGGAGGATAGTTGTCACTGTGCGAACTGCCCCGCTCTAGAACATCGTCATTTAAGACTTTGAATTGATGCACTTGGAAAAAAACTCCAGATGACAAATAGTTTGCCTTACACAGTAACGGATTGTTTGGCGAGGGGTGCAAAGCAGCCAGTAACGCTTGAACGTCACCTGTAAATTGCATCGCCCTTGATATAACGAATAATTATATCTTATAAAAAAAAAAACGATGCCATTGAACTTGACAGTCTGGGTACCAAGGACAGTGGGATTGTGCGGTGCTGCTATCTTCTGTCCTCATCCCCCACCCCAGGCAGACCCAAACTGTTCCTTCTGCCTCCCGCAGAAAAGCAGCGACTTGGAAATTTTGCATCCCTCTCCTCCCCTCCATGGCAGTCACTGATCAGTTCCCCGTACCTCGTTATTGGAGACCACCACGAAGCAGTCACCAGCGTTAAGCGCCTGCACGTTGGGCGGCACCAGGCGAGTCTGCACGTGCCGGCGTCCCTTCACTCTCAGTAGCATGGTGTCGGAGCGGTACGGCCGCCAGCTGCCGGGCCCCGCCTGACGGCCGCCCAGCTTCACAGCGCTGAAGTCCACCTTGGCAGCCAGACCGGCTAGAGACTCCTGGGCGAACGTTGAACGGCGAGACACTGTGGGGGAGAGGGGCGAGGTAACAGAGTGATTTGGGCACGAGAGACAGAGTAAGAAAAGGAGGTGCAAAAGGCAGTTCAGACAAGAGGTGAAATAAATATGCAAACTCGAGTATCTCCGTGACAGAATTAGCGGCATTTTTCGTGCATTAATATTCAATGTCGTATGAAAGTTTATGGGGTTTTGCGAATGAATCGTCGAGCGGTTATAAGTCGACAGTGCTAAACGTGGTCGCCACCGACGATGACTGATAGCAACGGTTTCGCTCTCACCGCCGCCCAGCCGAGCCCACTCACATTCCTCCAGCTTGGCCATTTTGATGTGCGTCTCGCCGACGCCGAGCCGAACCTCCTCATACTCGAGGCGTACGTCGATACGTTCACTGAGCGCCCTCAGCGGGTTACGCGAGGAGCGCGCTCGCCGGCGCAGTCGGACGCGATCCGACAGCGGTCCGGCGTCCAGCCGAGGCGCGCGTAGCTCGACCGAGTCTAAATCCCACTCAGGGTCCCAGTCCGGGCTAGTGGGAGGCACAGAGGTCCTCTCGGAGGTCCCAGACGAGCCGAAGAACGCCGAGAAACTGGCGTCAGCCAGCTCCGGGACGGAGACCAGGGCGGAGACGGGCCGCGCTGTGGGAGGTACGGCAGTGTGAGCAGTGCTGAGAGTGAAGGTGGGGACTTGGGAGGGTGACATAATAGACTGGTAAATAATGGGGGAGGGACACGCTGAGTTGGTGGGGGTGATACAGTGATAAGGGAGGGACGAGTGCACCTGCGCGAGTGCGTGTGTAAAAGAGACAAAGTCTCGTTTTAAGCATAGCTCCTGACTAACTAAAAGCTACTATTTCATATCATGACGATATGATCGGCCTTCTTCTTTACCTTCATCGGCCTGCCGGCTGCCGTTCTGACGCTGGACGACGGAGCTGGTCGGAGTCGACACCTGAGACGGCTCCACGAACATACTCTTGGCTGCGCGTGGTGTGCCTGCAAAATGTAAAATCAGAAACGCGTTATACTTTTTTTCAAACAAGCCGTCTTTCTCAAAATATTATGTTAAAGGAATTTGACATACAATTACATAATTTTCATATCTTTACGACGGTATTATTCAAAGCAATGCATAATGTTAAATGATACGTGGGTCTAAGGACGTCTTATGTAAAGAAGTACGGTATAGCGGCGAGCCTGTGTCCCCTCACCTGTCTTGCTGCGGAACACCACCGCCTTGGGCGTGTTGTGCTGACGGCGGGGCAGAGCCGGGCTGACGCAGGGAGATGTCGGCTGGCCCATCTTACCGGCCACCGTGAAGCTGATAACAGGGCAGAAGAGAACACTGACCGTCAGAGGCAAACACATAACGGCAGCGGCACAAAGGACTGACACAGGGAGACGTCGGCTGGCCCATCTTACCGGCCACCGTGAACCTGGCAGAGGAACAGAGTACTGACCATCAGGAGCAAAACACACACCAGTCGAGAGCTAACATAGACATCTTCTCCACAAGAAGTTTCACATGCTCGCGTTTTATCACATAACTAAGCTGCCACAATATCACAGCTCAAGAGCGCTCAGACAGAATAGAGCAACTCTCCGCTCGCTTACCGGTTGGCGTCATTCTGCGGCACGCGCGCCTTCCAGCCCTGGGCAGCCGTCTCCTGCAGTACATCCGAGAGTCGCTCTATGTGGCTGACCGGACGGCCGGAGGGCGGAGGGTCCGCCGCCTGTAACAGCCACCCACTCAGTCAGATAGGGCCACCGACTCAGCAGCTCACTGTCGTCGCCTCGTGCAGACACTCAGCGGATGGATAAAGCGGCATACGGCATTCTGTTCAACAAGATTGGACTGACATTGTTATCATGCACGTACGGTTATCAAATCACGCACTGACTAAAAATAAATGTATAAAAGCTCCAACTGTATGAAAACTGATCATATTCGGCAGCAGCATACTATCTACTATGTAGTATGTAGGAAATAGCCACCATTCTCCAGGCCCAGTACCAGCACGGCGCCTAGCTAATACCGTGAGTCACCTACTGTCGAACGCACCCCTTTCCGCAGCGTGACGCCTCCGGTGGTCGGCGCCAGCGCATCGCGCGGCTCGGGCCTCACCCGACGCCGCCAGCCCTCGTCACCGGACTTCTGTAGCGCCGCCAGCCTGCGGGTAGACACCGGTGGACAGAGTCAGAGAGGGACGGGGTAAGGAGAACTACAGAAGGCAGTTACAGAACTTACTTACAGAACTTACAGAAGGTATAGTACAAAGGGAATGGGGCACTCACAGTGATATTGAAACTTGAAAATAAATGACACGACAGAGAAGCTCCGGAAGGTCATTGTCATTGAACATTGTCTATTACTACACAATGCTCATGTAGGAGTTTTTGGGCTTGCCAGGCCAAGCAATGAGTAAGGCAATAAGTGTAAAACACTTCTGGCTATGAATAACCGAGAAGTAGCAGTGGTGCGTATCAGTAATAGTTAGCGACTGTTTAGGCCCTCTTTGGGACATGTAGTCTAAACATAATGAAGTATTTTACCAGAATAATATAAGCAAGCACTTTTTAGATTCATTGTAAATGAGATAATGATGACAAACCGTAGCCTCACAATCAGGTTTAACCCTCGCCGGACCTATTGGTTTTCTACATACGCGCCGGCCGAGGGGGGGGGGGGCGGGTACGACCCCCCCCTCGCCGTTTCGCCCCTGGTGGAGCTAGCGCGTCGCGGAAAAAACGAGCGTGTGCGCCGTTACGAGACGCAGAGATTGGTACCCGATTTTAAGGTCCTAGGTCAACCGGTGACCTCTGAGGTCAGGTCAAGTGCCCCAGGGTACGGTTCAGTTTTTGGTGAATAACTTCGCAAAAAACGGCCGCAGAGCGCCGATTTTGGCAGCATTGTGTTCGCCTCGCTCAGGCGCGTCGAATGATATACCTTTTGTCCGGGTCAGGTCAACTTGGGGTTTTGACCTCAGGTCAAGGTCAGGTCAGCACCCCCAGGTCACGAAGTTGGTCGAAAGAGGTCATGTCGCATATCATTCGATTCGGCAGGCCTTCCTGAGTCCATTGGTGCCTTTCCCGACTCGCTAGCTCAATTTGATCAAGAGTTATTGACGAAAAACTAATTTGACCTTGATGACGTCATAAATGACGTCACGCAAGGTCAACATTGCAAAAGTGACGCATCTAACCTTGCAAGGAGTGCATCAAATCACGATTCTGTGTGCTTGAGATAGTTGGAGATCGTTCCCGGCGCCAGAATAGCAGTTTGAATTTTTCCCCATTGACTTATAATGGTGAGGTCACGAAAATGACCTGACCTCATATGACCTTTAGGAAAAATCCGAGATATACAAGTTGTGGGACTCATAATGGATACTAGATCCTGCAAGTTTCATTTCCCTGTGACATCTCCTCTGGCAGTGAGGGCGTTGCGAAGTTGCGACATCTGAAGACCGTGCAGAGGTTCACTTATGACGTCATAGGTCAGTGACCTGACCTGACCCAAAAATGCGGTTGGTGTCAAAAGATCCGGCTTGGATCAAAGGTCAGGTATGCCAAGTTTCAGCTCTCTATCGCCAGCGTGTTCGGAGCTATCGCGAAAAAACCCTATGGGGGGGGGCGGCACCCGCCCCCCCCCTCGGCCGGCGAGGGTTAATAATTAATATATTGCCGAATATAATCATAACAAAATCTTACTTTGTTATAATTATATTTGGCAATATATTGAACCTTATTATGAGGCTAAGGTTTGTCATTATCTTTTTTTACCAGAATAGCTACAACCTCGTTCTAAAATTTCACCGCGTTTCCTTCGGATGCTTCAAGCATATGTATAATAAGCTGCGAACATCATTGTTTTAATCAACATCCTCATTTGTGAGCATTCACAAGTCATGCTTGGCAATGACATTGAGATGATAATGATGATGACAGTGGGGCAATGATACATTGCTCATTGAAACTGTATTACCTTGGCTATGAAATACACTGATGTGACTTCATCGGCCCAGTTTGCCATATGAAAATGCCGGGAACCAAAGTTGATGGTTGATCATATTTACGACCGCTATAGATACGAACTGGACGCTCAAGTGCTTGCTTGATCGAACTAGTCTACATACATCAAAAGCGTAAGAATCCACTTACCTAATAAAATACACTTACATCGGCAGTCTGAAATCGAAAATGGCCTTAATATTTACATACCCGAAGGGAGATTACCTATATAATTTCAGGTTTGTGAAATATGCAGGTTTGCATGCATTAACGAAGCAAAAGGGTGTGTAATTTCATTCCTCAGAGCCCGTTCAGTGAACGTGATATGATAAAAAGTGTAAGCATAACTGGCTACCAGTCTGGTATAATCATGATAAGACCGCATCAGTGCCCCATCACATAGGGCTGCTGAGCCCTGAGTCACTCTGACCTGTCCTTTACAGACTGCATCACTGCCCCACAGGGCTGCGGCCGGCGCCGAACTGACCTGTCCTTGATGCCTCCAGTCCGTCGGATCTCCGGCGGGGTCGTGTCACCTCCGGTTGGCACTGCGGGCTCTGTGCTGCTCTTCTGCAGGGTGACTGGGGCAGGTCGGGGGCGGCGGCCGGCACCGGCGGGACGCGAGCGGCGGCTGATGGCAGCTGCTATCTCCTCGACTGTCTGACCAGATTCGCTGGGAATGGCACGGGGAGCAGGGTTAGGGTGTGTATAACGCAGCAGGGAGAAGAACGAAAACGGCAGGGGGAGCCGGGTCAAGCTCACTGTATAGTGTATGTTCAACACGACACACACGAGGTGAACGGAATCGGTACAGGGAGCCAGGTGAGGTATGCCGTATGTGTGTGTACAGGCCAGATGCACGGAAACGGAAGAGGGGAACCGGAACAGGCTCGCTCAACGTGCAAAACATCAGATAACACCAACGGAAACGACGGGAAAACGTGGATCCGAGTCGGAGATCGAGAAGAGACAGAGGACTTACGTAGGAAAGGAACATATTTTCTCGTGATCAATCGAAATGCAAGCAATAATACGCCTTCGTATTATCTCCGAATGAAATAAGTAAATATATACTTAATTTTAGATTGATTCCATTTAATCGACAAAACACTGAAATTTGGGCGACATAAAAACATGAACTGGTGCACAGATTACGACTCCAACGGCCCGCACACTAACAGCTGTTGCCAAGCACCAGCACATGAAGGAGCAGCCCAAAACCCTACAAAAAAACCTTCACTATTAAAATCTAAACTCATCCGAGCTATTGATAAACAACACCAGCTATGACTCACGTTAAAACAGACCGATCAGCGGTTCGACACACGAACGGCACAAGGAGAAACACCCACACCGCCGCCACTTCCACAGCCACAATCACTGAACTTCGACGCCAACGGTCGTCTTATCGGTGCGACGCAGTCTCACACAGCAGAGAGCAGCTCAAGAGAGTGGCGGGCACGGCTGTTATCTAATCAGTGGCAGTCAGCTGACGGCTACCGTGAGGCGCACGGGCAGGGGAGAGGGCAGCCACGACGCAGAGGTGCAATATCGGAGTTGTCAATCACTCGCCACCCACTCCAGACAAATACTCACTCAAGGCGATCGAACACCCACTCAATGCAAACATTCACCAACTGCGAGCCACTCCGATATGCAGGGAGGCCGCAAGTTTTGACACACACCCTAGTGCCACTATTTCCGACTCCATTATCGACAAAACAAACCACAAATATGGCCGTCAAACTTCCGGCTAAGTGATGCACCCTGGCACGAACCACGTTATAACGGGATATAACACGTCACGTATAGGGAAACAGACGTTTCCTTTTCCGTCAGGGCCAATTTGCAGAAAGCCTCTCCCAAGTAATGGTGTCATATCAATCGCGTGCAAAAATTAAGTGCCTTCCTACAACATATGTGAATGACTAGCCGGTTACTATTCAGCACTAAAAATGAGTGGAAATAATTACGGGTAAGCATTATCGGAAAAAGTATTTTTGAGGATCACAAAAAGTGGCGTGGTGATAAGCTGGCTTTCACTGAAACCAAACATCCGGGAAATTCACGAACAGCGTATCCCACCTAAAGGTATGGGTGACGCAGCCAGTGGGTGAAGCATGGAAACAATTTTTCACATTTATAGCAACACGTGAAATGCTTCCACTTCTATGCTATAATTGTTAAGGTTCAATATAAACCAAATCGGAAAAATAGCACGTGTTTGACGTGCTAACCATTTCCAGAGTTCGCTTCCGGCCTTACTGCATGGCAGTTTGATGTAAAACCATTTACAATTATTTGACTCTGAACTAGGCCAATGTTGGTACTGGCTACCAATACATTCATCCATTTTTCTCCTGGGGGTCTGTTGACGGCATTTGTAATTCTAAACGAATTCTTTTGGGGGCTCACAGGACACAGGACACGTCCTAGTTATACGAGGTACAATTCAATGCGTCGACACCTGGCGGGAAGAGCTCGGGCCGACACCAACGCAGGGGAAGAATATGAGGACTCACGCTCAACAATAGAACCACACGGAACACAATTCAGCCCTCGCCCTATGTTACACCGTGGCTGTGGCGGCACTCACCTGGTGGTCTGGTGGCGCGGGCCCAGGTTGAACAGCTGGTCCGCCAGGCTGACTCCGCAGGTCTCATCCTCATCCGAGGACGAGTCCTCAGCCCGCGTCCGCGCGGAACAGCGCTCCAGCGACGACGGACGCAGGATTCCGCGAACCGAGGAGCGTCCGTCCGGACTGCTGGGTCGAGAGGAGGGCTTCAGAATGCCTCTGCCTTTATCTTCGGGACTGTTGGGCCGCGAGGGAGGCTTCAGAATTCCTCTGCCCTTGTCCTCTGGACTAGTAGGTCGCGAAGGGGGCTTAAGGATTCCCCTGCTTTTGTCCTCTGGACTGGTAGGTCGCGATGGAGGCTTCAAAATGCCTCTGCCCTTGTCTTCGGGACTATTAGGCCGAGAGGGAGGTTTTAATATCCCTCTACTTTTATCCTCGGGGCTAGTAGGTCGCGACGGAGGCTTCAGAATGCCTCTACCCTTGTCCTCTGGGCTAGTGGGTCGCGAGGGGGGCTTAAGAATTCCTCTGCCCTTATCCTCGGGACTGGAAGGCCGAGAAGAAGGCTTTAGTATCCCTCTTCCTTTGTCCTCTGGACTATTAGGTCTCGATGAAGGCTTTAGTATTCCCCTGCTTTTATCTTCGGGACTACTAGGTCGCGATGGAGGCTTCAATATTCCTCTGCTCTTGTCCTCAGGGCTAGAAGGTCGTGAGGAGGGCTTTAGGATCCTCCTTCCCTTGTCCTCGGGACTGGAGGGTCGGGACGAAGGCTTTAGGATCCCGCGGAGGTTTTCTTCTGGACTGGAAGGCCGGGAGGAGCGAGCCGGGGTTTTCTTGATGGCGCCGGTCCCCACCAGCGGCTCGGAGAGTGGGACGCCGGCTGCCATGGACGAGTCCGGCTTCAGAATGCCTGCGGGACACAGCAGAACCGTCAGCGCTGGTCTGAGACGGCCAAACGTCGCCACACTCCAGTCCCAAAGTAACTATACAGACCATGAAAAAAGATCAGCCTATGACCTATGTTGCAGAATGCAGGTCCTTCTACACAACTGAAATCATTTTTAAAGAGCCATAAATCAGTGAGCACTTGAAATTTAATTGGTGTAAATATATGACTTAATTTCACCTGAAGCATTTTTAAAGCATCATAGCACTGATTCAATAATGTGTTGCTGCTATATATCTGTTGAATTTCTAGTCAATTACAAGCATTCTATAATTTGAATCACTGTCCATGTCCTCCATGTCCATTTGAATGAAGGCATTTGCAATACTTGTTCCTCAATAGAATCTCCATCATGCTAGACCGTCCTTATAAGCATGCACAATAAGCTAAGCCAAAAACGGGGCCACTAAGCACCACGGTTTGCATGCTTTGAATAATCAAGTAACTTGTCATTGAAAGCTGCCCTCGAGATGGTCAACGACGCAAAGGTACATGCAATGGCTCGAATGGCCTCCACGGGCAGATGAATTGATCAGGGAAATGAGATTTGGGGTGGCGTAATGCAAAATATGCAAGGCATTCACAAAAAAGATATTACAGTTTGCCCAAAAAGATAGAGGAATGTGAAAAACGGAGCAGTCCATCTACATTAAACCAAGATTCTTATCCAGTTGTCAGCAATCACACAGTGACAGTCAAGCTGTACCAGAGAAATCGGACTCATTCGTTTGTTCCTGGCATCCAGCCATCGGAACCAAATAGTCAAGCCCGTACGATAAAAAAACAGTTATAATGCCAAACAAATTTGGCCTAACCATTGAGACGCAATTTCGAGCCATTACCTAGCACATCACGCAGTACCAGCTCAAGTTCAGCATCTATGCGTATAATACCTATTCTGGGAGGCGTCTTCACGCCTGCTCTGGCCCTGCTGGGTCCCGTGGACGCAGCTAGTGCGCCCGGCTCGGGCGCCGGTGCCTGCGGAGCACCCCGCGCACGAGCCACTTCATCCTGGGTTACTGGCAGTGTCTGGAAGCGGGCAGTGCGGGGCCGGCGGCCGCGGCTGACAGGAGGTGGCGGGGGCGCTCGGACCTGCGCCAGCGCCTCCTGGTACAGGCGAGCTCTCTCTGCCACAGAGAGTTTCGGAGTCTCTGAAAATGGGGACGGCACAGGGTGTGCCATCAGAGATGCGCCTGAGGCAACCTTGACCGGGCGGGGAGGGAGGCACCTTCAGGGCCTCTGCTGAAGCGGGCCCAGGTCGCGTCTCAGACCGGGTCATGCATAGGACAGTACAAGATCTGATGCAAGGCGTAAAAGATCAACAATGCATCTCCTAAATACCACTGGTTAACAAGGCAGCGAAGCAGAATGATGTTAACATGCCAACCACGTAATGCCTTACAGCTGATAGCCACGTTCTCTCCTATCGCCGAGTCCGGCTAGAGCATAACATTCCCATGCGAGACTAGCTACCACCTACCGGGCTCGAGACTGCGGCGGCGGGCCGGTGGCTCAGTGGCTGGCGGAGCGGCGGCGGCAGCAGCCACCTCGTCAGGCGTTATGGGCTGCGTGGAGCGGCGCTCGGCCCTCGTCCGGGCGAACTGTCGAGACCGCCCGGGCCGTCCCCCAGCCCCGCGACGGCCGTTCTCGAACTCCAAGAACAGGTTCTTCTTCTGTTCCAGAGTCATGGGTGCCGACACGCCGGCTGGGGTGGATGGTACCGGTGGAGGCAGCGCCCGATTCACGGCTTCGGCTAGCGGCACGGGGGACGCAGCCCTGCGGAACACCGGGGTCACGTCACTGGCGTGTCAAGCAGCGACTAACGAACGACGGCCACCGTCCAATACACAGACGCAGTTCGGCAGCGCCACAAAAAGGAGCAAGAATAAACAAACAGTTTATGTGACGGATCCAACACATTCGGGTGGACGCGTTTCGTCACAGCCTTTTCCAACACCTCTACTTGTCTACTAGTACCCAAACAAACAATGATATGACCAGTCTTTCTCATATAAACGATTCGCTGAGCGAATCGTTAATAACGATTCGCTGAGCACATTAACGATTCGCTGAGCGAATCGTTAATGTGAAAAGGTCGAAGTAAACAGCAGGGAAACGCTGGCAAGACAAGAATTAACTGGCAAATTATATTTCAATACCACGTAAAGTTGAAAAGAAAAAGATGTTAATGCAAATGCTAATGCTAAAAGGAAACAGAGATGCATTGCCATAATTCTGCCGTTGTAATAAAGGCCCCCATTAGGAATTGTACACGGCTAGAACCGGTACTGTCGCCAATATCCATTGGACAGGCGTTGCTAACCTCAGAGCCGACTGGAGGTCGTCGTCAGGCGCGGGCGGCACTGCAGCCGGGCTGGAGAGCGGGCGCGGCGCGGCCCTCACCGCCGGCTCCGCGTCCCTGGGCGGGCGACGCAGGATTGGCCGCGGCGGCCGCTCGTCAGTCGGCTCTGCCCGACGCACGGTGGCCCCGAGTCCGACACTCATAAGTGCTGCCGGCTCCTCAAACGAGCGCCGCTTCAGGATGGACGGCGGCGGCTCGGGGCTGCTGTCCAGATCCTCCTCCCGAGAACGACTGGCTTTCAGAATCGGCCGCAGCACGTCTTCGTCTAGCGCAGGAGCACCCACATCCTCCACTGATTTGTTTTTGAGGATAGGTCGCGGTCGGTCCCGCTCCACTTCTAACTCATCGTCAGTGCTGGCGCGTTTCTTCAGGATCGGTCGTGGCTCCGCCTCGTCCGGGCTGCGCTGCTTCTTTTTCAGAATGGGCCGCGGTCCTCCTGGGCGAACTGTGTCCGGTGAAAAACCGCGCTCAGATCTCTCTTCCTGACTCTGTTTTCGTTGTTTGAGAATCGATGTCGGCCGGGCACTGCCGCCTCCCAGGGAGTTACTCCGTACCGGCGGCATCGGGGGTAGATCTTCATCGGGAGACAGGTGAGCGCCACAGCGCGCTGCGCTGACCGGCAGCGGCGGCCGCTGCTCAGACGGTACAGACGGTGGAGCCGTCGGTGGCAGTGGGGGAGGCGACTCGGGCGGGGCCGCTGGCGGTCGGCTGCCGGCGCCATCTGCCCGCAGCGGTACACCCCGACGGGCGGTGTCCCCAGGCCGCGGCGAAGCCGGTGGCTCTGTAGTGGGTACCGGAGGTGGACGAGACTCAACGGGGGACGGCAGTCGACCGAGTCGCGACACCGGTTGCTCGGTGGCTCTGCTCTCCAGCGTCCTCCGCACGGCCGCCACGCCTGTCACCTTTCGAGGCGGGCTCACAATCACCAGCTCCTCGATAACCCGAGTCGGCCGCGCTGGCGGGGCCTCCGCAGCAGCCGGAACTGAGGCCGGTCGGCCAGTGTCTGTGGATGGTCCGTTGCGGCGTTGGCTGTCTGAGCGACCAATTCCCGGGCTAGGCGCACCTTCAGCAGAGGAGCCCGCAGACGGCCGACGGAGGAACGGAGCGGTAGACCCAGCCGAGCCAGCACCAATTGCTCCACTCCCAGTCACTCGATCACCAGTAGGTTGAGGAGGAGCCCCACTAGCTCCTGTCGACTCACTGGAAGGCTTATTACTGACCACCCGCTTGTCCAGGGCTGTCGTCCGGGCTGCACCTACAGGAGTGGGTCGCTCCTCAGGAGCAGATGAGGCCGAATCTTCAGAGCTGAGTGCAGCCGCGGCGATCGAGTCGAACCGAGACAGCGTGTCGGTAGTTCGCTGGCCTCTGACTTCTGGTAGGTGAGCACTCCGACGGGAGGTCAGAGCCTCAGCGTCGTTTGAAGGCGACGGCGACGGCGACGGCGTCGACTTGCACGGGCTGGCACCGACCGTACGGGCTGGTTTCCCGACAGGCTTGGCCGTTTTCCCAGAGGCCACGGCCTCGAACCGCGATGCCAGTCGGCGAGCCTTGCTCTCCGAGCTGTCTGAAGACTCACCGGAACTGGAAGCCTGCAGTCTGCCAGTCCGGTCTGAACCAGACGCCGCCGGGCCGGTCAGCCTGTCCACGCGCTCCGCCGTCGCACGCGCCATCGTCGTGAGTTTGTCGATCCTGGCAGATATGTCATCCGTGTTGACTCGTGTTGGTGTTGCACCGGCCCGCGTGGGCAGCGCGGACCGGGGCCGATCGCGCTCACCGACTCGCCTCAGGCCAGTGCTGCCGGTCAGCCGATTGTCGGGACGTGCTGTCCGCTCCGTACGGCTGCGTAAGGACCGCTCGTCGCTGCCCGCCAGCCCGGAGCGAGGGGCGCCTGTGGAGCGGCGGATTCCATGCTGGGTGGATTCATCGGCGTCGTTTTCATTCGTTGCTTTGTTCTGGCTCTGTGACGTCTCACTATCGGTGGTCTGTTTGGTGGTGCGGGTGGTGTTATCACTGGCCGTATGTCGACTACCGGCTGTGGTGCGCTCTGCGGCAGTTCTCCGATCGGCGATGGACGAGCCGCGCAGCGGGCTGACTTCTGGCGGCTCTGTCCGCAGACTGAAGGCCGCCCCAGTGCGCTGCTGGTCGGCACCCCTCGCAGAAGGCGTGGCCGAAGTCGACGACTCGGCGCGGCGCACCATGCCGGAGTCAGCCGGCTCGCGGCGGCCCAGTCGCGGCGCGCTGGAGCCGCCGGCCGTGGCCCGGCGCTGGACAAAGTTGGTGCCGGCGTCCAGTGTGCGGCGCAGAGCAGACCGGCCCGCGCGCGCTAGCTCCGGGGTGGGCGAGCGGGGCGGTCGGTCGGCGCCCGAAGACAGGCGGCCCCGGTCGGCGCCGGTGTCCTCCAGTTCCCCGGCCTCAGCAGTGGCACCCACGAGCGGAGACGAGCCGTCTGGGGAAACATACAGGGAGCGGCGGTCAGATATCAGAAATATCCTACAGCACTGCATAGCGAACTAAACCAGACAGCGAGAGTCAATCAGTCAATAATGAACGAGAACACCTAACGGAACAGAAAAGGTACTCGAAAGTGTATGAATACAAACAACGGCAAAAGGACGTTTTCACGTCGGGATCAGGCCGACACTTTGGAGATAATGAACTGGAAAGCTTAAAATGATTTGGTAACGCTGGTAGTATAACGTACTAAACGAGGCCAGTGTAAATAATTTCAAAACCGAGGTCATTGCTTTATTTTTTTCTTTTAATTAGACCGCACACAGCGTTCAAATTCGTAGGTATATCTAATATTTCTGGACTTAGACCATAGTAAATATTTTACCTATGCCAGCATACGTCACAGTTTTCCAGAATCCAAATGGCATATTTGAATGGCATAGGCATACAATAAAACCATGATCATTTAACTGTGAAAGGTAAAAGGTCCTTTTAAGGTGTGACAAAGCTTAAAGCTGTGGTTCCTGGGGCATACTTCCCACTGAAATCATCCTTACCGCAACCATCTACAAGTTCAAAAAGTTTCATCAGAATTTAGCCACATGTTACTTCACCCAAATCTGAATGTGGATACTTTCTAGTCCCATTCCAAAGTGACATGGGTAGTGGAAACAGCTTGTTTAGATTATTCCACCACAGAAACTAATAGATAACTTTGTTCTAATCTTGGAGTTAAGCAGATATGTTTGCAAGTACATCTATAGAAGCCATTTGCATGAAAAATATGTAATTACCAAGACACCAAAAGAATTTCCATATTATCACTATATAGGTTGTAGTCTTAGAAGTTATTACACATAAACAAATTATATTTTTACACGTATAATTAAAAAAAAGTCTAGAAACCTTGAGGAATTTAGCTATATCTCTATCTAATGGAATGGAGGCAATGCCAATCAGAAATCTTGAGCAAAAACATGGCCATTGGCCATATCGCAAGATCTAGCATAGCAATAACTTTTCTGTATTTCATAGACATTTCTGCATATTATTGTGCTCATTTAACCCTCGCATGTGTGCGGCGTTTGCCAGCTTCTAATGTGTAGGTAGGGGGAAGGGGGGAGGTCGGTTGGACCCCCTTGCTGTTTGGCCCCTGATCGAGCTAGAGCTTCGCGGAAAAAACGAGCGTGTTGCCCGTCACGAGACGAAGCCGGTGATACCTAATTTTAAGGGTCTAAGTCATTGGTTGACCTTCCAGGTCAGGTCAATGACCCAAAAGTCGGGAAAATCGGGAGTCGGGACCTGCTAGAAAGTCGTAAAGTGTGGCTGCTATGGGGTTTTTCGGGGTGCTGATCACGAATATCGTGTTAGTTTTGATCACAGATGATGTCTTTAAGCATTTAGACCAGGTCGGGACAGGTCAGGTCAGGTCAACCAGTAGGGCTCGTGGCGGGTATTCGTAGAAGGTGTCAACCACTTCTGACAGCTTCGTAACATGTTACGAAGGCACCAAAACTACTTCGTTAATGTTCAAATGGTTTCTAAATTCGAACTCAGCTCCAAAAAACTAGCCTAGAAACATGTAAAACTCGAAAAAGTGAACCGAGGTCACCAAAGGTCAATGACCTGACCTGACCTTCAGGTGACCTTGACATCCACCCCAATGCATGGGAGCAGCATCGAATCACATGTTTGAACGTTTGAAACCACGAAAAGCTTGCAAACGCGCGGCTAATGCGAGCCGACGTACATACGCCGAATCGCGATTCCGGCCAAACATGGCCTCGAGAAATAGGTCACAACTAACAGGTCAAAGGTCACTTGGGTCAGGGTCATTAAATTTTCAGAGTAGGTGTAAAATTGATCAACTCGAGGGTACTGAAAGTTTCGTCGCGATCGGCCGCTTTTTGCGCGGGTTATTCGCGAAAAACCATGGGGGGGTCCATCCGACCCCCTACACATGCGAGGGGTAACCCTCGCCCGTATAGGGAGGTCGAACGGACCCCTCCCCCTCGGTTGTTCGCGAATGCTAGTTTTTGGAGCTGAATTTGAATTTAGCAACCATATGAAAATTAACGAAGTAGGTAGTTTTGGTGCCTTCGTAACATGTTAGGAAGCTGTCAGAGGCGATTGTCACCTACTACAAATACTCGGCAGGTTGCTGGTTGACCTGACCTGACCCGATCGGGCCTAAGTGCATGAAGACATCATCTGTTATCAAAACTAACATGATATTCGTGATCAGCACCCCGAAAACCCCATCGCAGCCACACTTTACAACGCTCTAACAGGTCCCGATTTTCCCGACATTTGGGTCATTGACCTGACCTGGAAGGTCAACCAATGACCTAGGACCGCGCAGTGGAAGGGGGGGGGGGGCGGATTTCGCCCACCCCTCCTGTTTTTCGCCAATAACTCGCGCCGCAAGCATAATATCAATGTGAAATTTCGGCTACCTGTCCAGAATTGAACTGCGGATCTTCTCGTGCAAGAAGTAAGAAAATCGGTTCACAACGGTTTCTAGTAAAATCGGTTTCTAGTAATAGCGGTGTAAAGTCAAACATCCTGCCGCCGCGGCGGCGCGGCGGCGCGGCGGCCGGCGCTAGCCGTTACGCGCCGCCTGAATTGTAGACTGTGCCGGGGCGGGACGGTTCCGTCTTTACATCGCGCTCCTTACCGCTGATTATATTCGATTTGCGTCAAATTCGGTGAGAAGACTGAGAAATGTACAGGCAATCATATGGTCAAATAATTTTGAAAATCAGCCGGTAACAACTTGAGTTATGAGTGTGTAAACACAAAATTGTGATTGCCGCGTTTCCCGCGTCGGCCGATGCCGCTTCAGCCGGCGACATCTTACCCTTCGCAGGCTTCTAACTGCCATATTTATTGTTGGATTATCTAGAAATTCACCATACATACTCACAAATGTTTGCCCTTTCGTATAGTGAAAGATTTTAAAAAATCGGCCGGTAACTTTTTGAGTTATCGGCGTGTAAACGCAAAAAAGTCGCTAATATGGCAGATTTGACCACATTTGACCTCATTTGACCTTGAAGATATTAACCTAGGGTCATGAAATTCACACACAACGGAGTTCCCCATGGCCCCCACCTACCCTCCAAATTTCGTCTTTCTAGCTCCAGTGGGAGCTGAGATCTTAGGGGGGGGGGCGACATCCGCCCCCCCCCCTTCCACTGGGCGTAGTACTCGCAACCCTTCCACTGCGCGTGTTAAAATTGGGTATCATCGGCTTCCTCTCGTCACGGGCAACACGCTCATTTTTTCCGCGAAGCTCTAGCTCGATCAGGGGCGAAACGGAAGGGGGATCCAACGGACCCCCCCCCCCCCCCTTTATACGTTCGCGGCTGGAAAACCACCAATACGGGCGAGGGTTAAGACAATGTGTTCTTCTGGTTCTGAACGATATTTGCGTACCTAATTCCTCATGCCGCAATTGACCTCATTTCCTAGCCCAGCCCGATGTGAGCATTGAATAGACCAAGTCTACTACAGGTCACTAACTTCAACTTCAACTTCAATTAGGATGAGTGTGAGTGTGACTTTGAGCAAACCAGCTCAATCAGTTGACAATTCCTTGAGAAACTATAGCTTTTTCCAGGTAGGTCCAAGAAACACTTATCTTTGTGTGATTTTTTATATCAATATGGAGGCAAAGTTAGGCCAGAAAGATTGTACAGGTGGAATAAGTGCCTAGGTCCCTTCTAAGCATACTTGTTGGTTGACAACACTCTTCACTGACCCACCAACACCCTGTAGCTTGGTTTTGGACCACAATCAATGCACCTTTAAATTCTTAATCTCAGAATAAAGCAGCCTGAGATAACTTTTCAAACTGGCACATCCAAAAACTGAATCCATAAATGAACATTAGAACCGATGACCTGATTTTCATGGCCACTTGTTATCTGGATTAGCAAAATTTAATAAGCTTATCCAGTATGCTTTGAAATTAAGTGAAAATAAAAAAGTGATTAGGTGATTAAATAGGTAAAGCTACTTTGCTTCAACTTACATTTCACAGCTTGTGATAACTTAATAAGCTAAAAACAAAATTATACAACTTAAATTTGGTAACCCAAAAATGAGTACCCATGGAAATGTGACCAATACCAAAATGTGCAGGACAAGCAAGACCTCTAGTCTACAACTTAAAATCCCTGACAAAGCCGAGCTCTTCTGAATAACATTTAAGCCAGAAAATTTTCCTCTCGAAAGGTATGATTATGAATGTGTTAATGTCCAGGGTACAAAAATAAATTTTTTCACATCTCATCTCTTTTCAGGAAAAAAAAATGTGGAAAATGGCTATAAAATTTTGAAAAGACAACGGATTGCATCCGACACCCAACAAATCACAACCACCAAGTCCTGACTCCTGACTCAATGATTTAAATTAAAAACAGCATCAAAGTGTTGTGCACTCATCCCCCTCATTTGATTAGTATGATCTAAATGCCTAACATGACAAAGGAGCAAAACTTCAAGCGACAAAGGCCACCTGATGCAAATGACCTTGAATGGAATCCCAATCTTTTGAGGGTCTTACCACTAAAACGAGACGCTCCAAAGCCCTACAAATAAAGTACAGAATGTTTATCTATGGTTAGAGTGTTGCACAGTCAAAATTACTAATATAACCTTAAAATATCCGCAATAAAGGCGCGGCCTTGGAAAAGGCGTTGCCACCAAAACAGAATGGCAATTGTAAACTTTTCAAGGTTGCGGTATTGCGTCCGTCAATCTAACAGCAGCTTCATATTCGCGACCCGTGAAGTTCTGCAGTATTTGGTAGCACACTTATAAAGTGAGATAGGAAGAAACTTTTCCTTTGATCCATTTCATTATTACGGGCGAAGTAGCTTTAACCCCCCGCCCGCGGCCCGCACATGGGGGCATGGTTGCCACTTGCCACCCCTAGGTAGTTTTTATGCTCTGCACTACATAAACATTTTCAAAGCTAGAAGCCTGATTTTTTCGTATAGCTGCTTCTCTATCCTTTCTCGACGTCCACTGGAAATTTCCAGTTTCTTTAGTTTTTGGTTTCGGAGATATGACCTTGTTCTTCAGTCATGTCATCGGACCCAAATGACCCCATGTAAAGGGGACACACAAACCAATCGGTGCACACATCAGTAGGTAGGTACACACTACACACAGACACACACACAGACATACAAACACGTCATCGGTATGACAGGCAGTAGGCACAGCACGTGATATTCCAACGGTGGTCCCAAACAGCAACATTTTTTAGTTTGACCTGACCTGGAAGGTCAATGATTGACCTAATGAGGTACCTAAAATTGGGTACCATTGGATTTGTCTCCTCCCAAAGAATCTGTTGGTCTTTGCCACGAAGCTTTATCTCCAGCAGGAACGAAATGGTGTGGGGGGTTGCAGCCCCCCCCCCATGTGCGATCTAGGATGGGAATATGGCATGTGCAAGCGAGGGTTAATAATTCATTTGTTTATAATTATAATTTATTCTCATTTTTCGTTTCACCCGACAACCACAAACAAGTGGGCATTACGACGGGCAGTAAGTATTTGTTTGGGGCGTAATACGCCCCGGGGGCGTATTGCGCAAGTACCTACACGCGTAGGTAATACGTTATATACGTACCTGGTTGGTCTGCAGCGGCCCGTTCCACCCCTTGCGCCCGGTTGAGATTTGACTTTCTTCGGCGGCTTTTGTCCCTCTCTAAGCAGTCTTGTCCATCGTGGCTGTCACCATCGCTTTTGCCTCTGACCTGAAAGGGCACATAGACAAACACTCATGGCATTCATTCGTGACTTATTGGCGACCTCCGACGTATCACAGGTCAGGTTCACTCGCAATACGTGTGTATATGTGGACCTTCCCATTACCAACGATGAGTCAGATACCTACTATCACTGGCGTCTGGCATACAGGGTGATCCAAAAAAATGGAACCCCTAACTTAAAATGTCTATAAGTCCGAAAATATTCACTTTATTGACAAATTGCGAACACCATTAGAAAGAGCATTAAATCCTCTATAAAACACGTCAAATTGGTGCATGTATGTTTTGAAGCATTGGCACACTATTAGCTTTTGGAATGAGCGTCAGAAAACTGAGTGAAACGAAATAACCAAATGCTAACAATGCGCTGAAATCCGTTAGCACTCTATCTGTTGTCTTTTTGCGAATAACGCCACATCCAAATTCAATTTTATTTCATAAAAGTTTACACAGAAGCACACAGTAGAACAGATACACGCGTCCTAGCTTCCGCTGTTCATCCCAGCATGTGCTCAACGCGAGCTCCGTGGGCCGTCACGCAGGCCTGCAGTTGCTTGGGGACAGCTCCGACAGCGCGGACCAGCAGTCTCTGGGACAACTGGTCCCAGCAGGCCGCCAGCCTTTCCTTTCCTTACAATAGCACGTGAATGAGCTATTTTTATTCATGAACCTCCAACAAGCGACATGGTCAGAACAGCAAACCGTCAATCACTGATTTGCGCATAATGTTCAAAACCGTTTCACTGAGTTTCGTGACACAAATTTTATAGGCATTTGTCTAGGGCAATATTTATAATAATAATTAAGTGCAATCAACATGGTTTTATAGAGAATTGAACGCTCTTTCTAATGGTGTTTGCAATTTGCCAATAAAGTGACAATTTTCTGACTTAAAGACATTTTAAGTTAGGGGTTCCATTTTTTTTGGATCACCCTGTATTTACCCTGGCAGAGTAAATGTGTGCTTCACCCCGTGTCCCTTTGACGGCGGCGCATCTGGAGGCTTAGGCTGGCGCTTTGGATAAAATATTGGGGAGAAGGTTCCCAGCGCTCACGATCAAGGAGGTGACGGACGTTTCTGCAGCTGTAGCCTGCAGTACCTACCGTTCCCACACCTCCGACCTTCCCAACTTCGCCCTGCGGGCCAATTTCATCGATATATGATCTGCGAGGTTCGCTTATTACCCGGCACGACTGTTATCGACACTTTGAACATTTGTCATGCTAAGAAACACGAGGAAAAGAAACAATATTACGGCTGTCTTCGAAACCACCACCCGGCATCCCGTCTATGCCGCAGCTGCGTGAAAACGTCGATCGAAGGCCAAGCTCAAACACAACATTTTTTACTTAACCGCTATAACATGTCTGCTGGGAGCTGATCCGTGATCGGCAGTGGCGGATCCTGGGGGGGGTCCACGGGGTCATGACCCCCCCCAAAAGGTCTGAGAGGGTCATTTGACCCCCCCCAAAAGCCGAAGACCTAAATGCGCTATAGACGCCGTCTTGCATGCTCAAAATCACATGTCAAACACTTCTGAGCTAATACCTTTGTTTTTCTGGATCGTGTTGCGTGAAAAGGCGTATTGAAGGCCAGAATCTTACTCATTTTTGTCTCAACCGTGCGAGCACCAGGGGATGATCCAGGAAAACTCCAAGGGGATGGTCATGAATTTAATTCGTGGTGCCCCTACCTATACGCAAAATTAAAAACTCAACGGATTTCGGCCACTTAATTTTGGTGATGTCCTATTTCCATTTTTTTATTTTGTTTGTTTTATTTTTAGTGCCCCTGGGCCCTGGCAGGTCAAAATCACGTCGGAGGCGAAAGAAATTCACGGGAATCCCAAAAATCACGTCAGGACATTCAGGGCACTCTGACCAGCCTGACAGCTAGGGCCCTTCTTACTTCCTGGGGCCTCCAGTGAATAACCGCTAGTGTCTGTGTCGGCCCCTCTGACTCCTCAGTAGGTAGGAGGCCCTCTGTAGAGGAGACCCTCTGTGGAAAGGAGACCGCCTGAATGCAGAAGGCCCTCTGAAGAGAGGAGACCCGCTGTAGAGAGAAGGCCCTCTGAAGAAAGGAGGCTCTCTGTAGAGAAGAGGCCCTCTGAAGAGAGGAAGCCCTTTGCAGAGATGAGGTCCTCTGGCTCTTTGAAGAGAGGAGGTCCTCTGTAAAGGAGGCCCTCTGAAAGGGAGAGACCCTCAGTAGAGAGGAAGCCCTCTGTAGAGAGGAAGCCTTCTGTAGTTAAGAGGCCCTGTGAAAAGAGGAGGCCCGCAGTAGAGATCGGTGGTCCTCTGTAGAGAGGAGACCCCCTCTGTGTTTTGACAAATGTTTTTGCAAATTTTTCGCGGCGCTTCGCGCCGCCGATTCATGTACATACGTACAGGTCAATATGAAATCGTGACTGTAATTACATAAACCAACCGTGTCAAATTGAATCAGAATTCATATGTGTACTGTGAAGAAACTCCGGCTTGTACTGCCATGCTAAAAGGGTGGTAAAATTTGTGTTTTGGAGCGGAGCTGTGTTTTGACACATTCTTTTGCAAATGTAAATGATCGGTTCAACAGGGGGACCTGGGGGAGGAGGCGCTACTGTTCAAGTGGTCTGGTTCCAGAGGCCGGACGGGGTGTCTGCCGATGGGTACTCACCGGTGTAATGTGGGCTCCTGGCCCTGGCTCCATTACCGAGCCGGGAGTCTGCCGGGTGCCCAGACTTCCTGAAAGGTGGGGGACATGCCATCAAGTGATGACAGACATGAGAGAAGGGAAAAGGTAACGATGAAATTTAACAGTAAACTCATGTATAAACAATTGCATAATCCTAAAGCCACCGTATATTTAATCGATTTTATCATCGCGGCTTCCGTTTCGATCGCTTGGATATCTCTGCTCCCGCTACCGGGCCGCACTGCCCACTGACCTGAGTTCTGTCCGGAGACGGCAGCCCGCAGTCTGGAGGCTCGCGTGGTGCGCACCTCTGTCGGAGTTCCCCGGTCAGCGGCTCCCTCGGCTGGCCCGCAGGGCGGCCGCGGCTCGCGGCGACGGCGCAGCTTGGACCTGCCGCCCGCGGAGCCGACCTCCTGCTCCTCATCACTGGAGGAGAGCCGCTGGAGGGCGGCGCTCGCGGCCAGCTGCCGGCGCCGCTCCTCCTTGTAGCGAACGATGCGCTCGGTAGCGCGCTCCGAGTCTGAGCCAGAAGTCATCGACTTGCCCTCCGGAGTGGCGCGAGAGGAGCTCATCATACTGGTGAGAAGGGATGAAGGCTGTTATCATGCAGACTGTGGAGATACTTTCAACAGCAAAACGGTGTGCGCTGGATGCACAGTGCACGGAAGGAGTAAAGACCCTGAATCTAATTAGCTATAAACATGATAGAACAGGTAACCGAACTTGAGATTGGTGCGCTATCTGATGAAAAGTGATACGTTATCTGGTAAGATAACATATGCTATGTACACAGTGAACGGCACATACCTGACTGGTGAGAGTGGTACGGTTAGACCATCGGGCGAGTGCAGCGGCTCTGAAAAAGACGAACCGCATCGTGAATCAGAATCTTGGGACTGAACCGTACGTGGACGATTAATAACTCGTGTTGAATGTTGCATTTTCAAAGGACAAATATGGATAGTAGATACTGGATCGGTAGGTAATATTATCTTAAAATAATGGTTCCAGTGGCAGTGACCAGCAATTTGGATGTCGGGTCGTCGCTCAGATCTACGTTTGTCGGGCCGAGGGTGTTGGGAATTCCAGGCTCTTGGGCCACGTATATAGCGACCAGCGATAAACGGCCCGTACTGCTCATAATATAATAATAACAGTGGTGGGCACTTCGATAACTTCCATCGATAACGATTATATCGAAGTCGTTATCGACGATAACGTTTTTCAAGTTTATCGTTATTGATTATCGTTGTCGAAGTAGCGTTATCGAAGCCCCCTTTCGGTCAGTCGATAACGATAACTTCATCAAATACGACGCGAGCGTATTAAAAAGTTTACTAAAGCCTCACCTGTGGCTCACCTTCAACATGGGGTTTTGAACTGAGATAGCAGTTTTGTATATTGAGCACTGAAAAATGCTATTTGGAATGCCTTTCGGCGCAACAAACTCTGTCACCAAAGATACCTATTCAAGTTTTTGTTTGTACGTTTGTTTGTTTGTTTGTTTGTTTGTTTGTTTGTTTGTTTGTTTGTTTGTTTGTTTGTACGAGAAAATTACCTAACATTTTCACTGTTCTAAGACTTCCTTTTTGTGTAAGCAGCTGGGTTATAATGGTGTTGCATGAGCAAATGGGTTAAATTTTAATTAGAAGCTCCTTTCAAATATTTTATCCTTTCGATTTCTTTCTTTTTTGAAGTTTTTGTTATCGTTATCGCGTTATTGAAGTGACCGATTTGATTATCGGATTATCGTTATTGAAGCCGCTAACCTCGAAAAAAGTTATCGAATTATCGTTATCGAAGTCGGGGTCAAGTTACGAGTGTCTACCACTGAATAATAGCATAATATGATAACATACACTGCAGTCACTCGTAAGTTAGATCATAGGTCAGGTCACCAGAGGTCACTAAAAGTCTTTTGCCTGTTCCAAAAATAATCGACAAATCACCGGATAATTTGGGAACAAAAAGCGACATCGCTGCAGAAAAGCGCATTGGTGATAGTTCAGGTTGTTTCAAAGATCTTGTTGCAGCATCAAGCATGCCCCCTGTTGTGGCGTGAATTTGAATTTAGTTGCGCTGTTCAGTGTTCGTATCAGCTGCGCCAGAATTGTGCGAGGTTGCTTTGTTATTTTTAGAGAAGATAGTCATCGGCATCGGCCCACTACGGAGTGCAGGGTGGACTTCCGGTGATGGCGTCGTAGGTGTTGGCCACGTGCTATTTTGGATCTTGTTGTGCGGCGGCCAGAATACATGTCCGGCAGTTCCGGTGATTGTTTTCGGCCGCCCGCCTCCCACCAGGCCACGGTGCAGTGAGGCAACACAACAAAGTCAGTAGGCGGAACTATGGTCAAGCGTACCCATTTTCGGGAACGCATTTTCGTTCCCATGTTTGGGAACGATAAACCCAAATATGGGAACGCCATGTAGGCATTATTTAAAACAAGAAAAAGAACCGTTAAATGACGTCCAAAAAATATAAAACGATCGTGAACCGCCTGATATTTGTCTCAATATTGTTGGGAAAGAGTTTGATATTGTAAGGCCCATCGTAGTTTCAAATCGTTCCCCTATTTCTAAAGCAGTCCATCATCCGGGCCGCGAGCCCAAATTTGGGAACGCTCTCGTACACTGGCGCTGCAAGCGTTCCTTATTATGGGAACGGCGTACCCAAAATTGGGAACGATTTCACCGACGCCTTTCAGGGGCTCTTTTCATTAACAAGCATCACGTCCAACGCCGCAAATTATTGTTAACGCAACAATCATCAGATGACCTTTCCGGCAAGACCGTCGCATGTTTCGCCCGGTCTTCTGCGCTTTTATTCCCGTCGATCTCGCAGCGGGCACGCCCCCCTCTGCAGGATTACGTAATTCACAACGCTCAGCGATGTTCAACAAGGTCTTCCATACCTATATCCACCGTCCGCGCTGAGGGTGGAGACATGTCAAGCACCTGTCTGTTTATCACCGATAGTTGACGAGTACAAGGAAGTATCCAAAAATGGGAACGCTGAATATGTTACACCCTCAAAACACCTAGTCCCAATGAAAATCTAGTTTTTTCCTTTCTTGATGAGTGTAAGTGGCAAAAGGCCTGGTAGGATGGGCACGAGGAATTATCGAAATCAGCATAAAAATTATAAATAAGCCACACAAAGCGAGCTATATAAGAGAAATTCCCCCAAAACGATCACGCTTAGAAACACGGAAGACAAAAACCACGCTCATGACGCTCCTTTTAAAACAACTCTAAACAGCTAGCATCCAAATAAAATATGTCTTTCCGGGATGATAAAATACAGCTGGATAATTTTCAACCGCTTAAACTGAGTTTACAACAGTAGCTCGGTAAATTCACTCACGTTCCACGCGGTCGTCCGCCCCGACACAAAAGTCAACAATATTACCTCGGGACCGTCCGCGTCTTCGCTTGCATTTGTCAGCATCTGGTGTCGATAGTATGAAAGTTCATAACCAGGCGAAAATTATTATACTTTACCTCAAACTAAAAAATGCTTCATTTTCCTTAAAATTGCATGTTAAATGTCGTATAACCCATATTTCCACCATTCTGTCATTTTCAAAAAATCATTAAAAATATCATTCCACGGTCAATTTCCTTGTTCCACGGTCAGATTAAAGATAACTTTATGGAGATTTAGTAGATACTTAAATCAGCGTGCACTTTTTTGAGACGTGATGCACTTTTGAGTTTTAGTGGGAGAACGGCCGAAAAATTGCCTTCCGTTCTCATAAATGGGAACGCCCGTTCCCATATTTGGGAACTCCGTTCCCAAAAATGGGAACGTTCCTATATTTGGGTACTCATGACCATAGTTCCGCCTACTGAAGTGGCGACTGAGGACTTCGAACAGTGATTTTTTCACCACGGATTTCGCGGCGGCTCCTGCGCCGTTTTTGCCCACCGCGGGAGCTGAGCCGGCGATTCCCTGGCCCCGGTGGGTCAGGATGTTTGAGAACTTTCTGTGTGCGGTCGGAGGTGACGCTTTCCCTCCCGCACGTCGCCAGGCTGTCCTCCTGACTTGTATAGGGACGGAGGGGCAGCGGGTGTTTGAGAGCCTGCCACCCGTGGAGAAGTTGGAAGGCGAGGACGACTTCCAATGGTGCCTGCGCCGCCTCGGGGCCCATTTCGCTCCCAAACAAAATGTTTGTGTTGAGCGCTACCGCTTCCGCAGCCGGGGGCAGCAACCAGGCGAGACCACCAGCCAGTGGGTCTCCGTGCTTCGCCAGTTGGCTAGCACGTGCGAGTACGGTCCCCAGATGGACGAGTTCATCAGAGACCAGGTGATCGAGAAAACCGCGAGCTCCAAGCTGAGGCAGCGGCTTCTCATGGAAGGGTCGGGTCTGACTCTGGAGAAGACCCTCACGCTGGCTGACACCCTCGAGTCAGCTGAACGAGAAGCAAAGGTGATGGAGGGACCAGCCGTGCCTGTGCCCGTCCAGGCCCTGCAGCCACAGAGGTCTCAGCGAGGGGGGACCAGGCGCCGACGCTCCGGCCCGGTCCCAGCCCTGCAGCAGGAAGGACGGCAGCAACTTCCGCAGGGGAGGCAGCAGCAGCCGAGACGGCAGCAGCCTCTCCCACCACAGCAGCCGACAGCCGGGCCTGAGTGCTGGGGCTGCGGGCGCCCTGGACACCGAAGAGGCGACAGGAACTGCCCAGCGTTTGGTAGGAAGTGCTCCAGGTGTGGTAAGACCAACCACTTTGCCCAGCACTGTGGTGCTAGTGTGGTTTCTAGCGTCCAGGTGCTAGCAATTGGGGCTAGTGCCACGCCTCTGACCCTTGAGGCTGAGGTAGAGGGGGTCAAGGTAGCTTTTACTGTGGACTCTGGATCCCCAGTCTCTATCCTGCCGAGGGACTTGGTGCAGGGTGATCTGGGAGTAGCCGAGGAGAGTCTGTGTGCCTACGGGGGGAGCATGCTGAATGTGCTGGGGGTGAAAAGTGTTCAGGTGTCATGCCGTGGGAAAACAGAGTTGGTCAAAGTGTATGTGGTGCCGTCAGGACGTGCTCTGATGGGCCTTGATCTGATGAAAGTGTTTGATGTTTGTATCGTGGGCAACCGTGTGTGCAGTGTGTCCACCAACCCTACCCGTGTGTCCCCTCCTGAGCCGGTCCAACCCACCAGCCCACCTGACGAGCCACCAGCCTCTCCGGGGGTCCAACCTGCGATCCTTGGGTACCAGCACCGCGTGACAGTTGACCCAGGGGTACCACCAGTGCGCCAGCCACTGCGCCGCCTGCCTTTGGCTGTGCTGGATGCAGTGAGTGCCCGGATTGATGAGCTGGAGGCACAGGGCGTGGTTGAGAAGGTGAGCGCGTCTCCCTGGATCTCACCACTGGTCGTTGGCAGGAAACGGGACGGTGCCATCCGCCTCTGCGTCGACATGAGGAGAGTGAACCAGGCGGTCATCACGGATGGGCATCCTCTCCCGAGGATTGAGGACGTTCTCGATCGGCTCCGTGGTTCGCTGATGTTCTCCAGGCTGGATCTGAAGGACGCGTACCACCAGCTGGAGCTGCATCCTGACAGCCAGAACCTGACCACGTTTGTCAGTCACAAGGGTTTGTACCGGTTCCGTCGAGTAAACTTTGGTCTGGCGAGTGCCGGCCCTTGTTTCCAGAGGGTGATGACGTCGATGCTGGAGGGCATCCCCGGGGTGGAGGTGTACCTCGACGATATCATCATCCACGCACCGTCCCAGGCAGAGCATGACGCTCGCCTGAAGCAGGTGCTGCGGCGGTTGGAGGACCACCGTGTGAAAGTGAACTGGTCCAAGAGTGCCACCGGCTGCCGTGACACTGATTTCCTTGGTTACAGGATCTCAGCGGCCGGTGTGCAGATCGACCCAGGGCGGATCAGTCCGCTGCTGGAGGCTCCAGAGCCGCAGGACGAGAAGGGCCTCCGCGCCTTCCTGGGAGCCACGGGCTACCACGCCCGTTTCATGCCGCGGTACTCGGACCTGGTCGAGCCGCTGCGAGCTGCGCTGCGCGCCGACAAGTTCGAGTGGTCGCCGGCGCTGTCCAGCGCCGTCCAGCGCGTCAAGGACGCCATCCGTCAGTCACCGGCGCTGGGTATGTTCGACCCCGCGCTCGCCACGGTGCTGACGACCGACGCCAGTGACGTCGGAGCAGGCGCGTGTGTGACGCAGATCGACGCCTCGGGGTCGCCCAGGGTCATTGCGTACGCGTCTAAGTCATTCTCTCCGGCCGAGCGTAACTACTCCACTGTGGAGAAGGAGGCGCTGGCCGTGGTGTGGGCCTGTGAGAAGTTTCGCCACTATCTCTGGGGGCGGAAATTCACTCTGCGCACGGACCATCAGGCTCTGTGTACCATTTTCGGTCCCAAGGGTTCCACGCGCGTCGGCCGGCGTGTCGCGCGGTGGGAGGCCCGCCTGCTCGAGTTTTCTTTCGACGTCGAGTACGTCCGCTCGGAGCGGAACACCGTGGCCGACGGCCTGTCACGGCTGCCGGTAGCCGAGACCTGGTGGCCGGATGATGACGATCTCCAGATTGCAGCTCTGACTGTGGCGGCAGCTATCTCTGAGGAGGAGCTCAGTGACGCCTCGGCGGCCGACGAGTGTCTCAGCGTCGTCCGTGGGTACGTGTCCAGGCAGTGGCCCCGCCGGAGGGAGGTTGACCCCCGAGCGGCTGGTTTCTTTCAGGTACGGGACGAGCTGTCCGTACACGGCCAGCTGCTGCTCCGCGGTGACCGGCTGGTGGTGCCCGCGGCGCTGCGCGAGCGCGTTCTGACTAACGCGCACGCGGGCCACCAGGGCGTGGTCCGCACCAAACAGCGGCTCCGTGAGCGTTTCTGGTGGCCGCGCCTGGACCGGCAGGTGCGGGAGCTGCTGAAGAGCTGTGAGGTCTGCTCTCAGCACGATGGACACGTGCGGAGGGAGAAGCCGCCCCTCCAGCCCATCCCACTTCCAGACGGACCGTGGCAGCGCCTCATGGTAGACGTGATCGGTCCCATGAGAGGTCCGCCGTCTGAGCGCTACGGCATTGTGCTCGTCGATATGTACAGCCGGTGGCCGGAAGTTGCGCTCTGCCAGGACGCGACGGCAGACAGTATCTGCCAGTTCCTGGAGACAGTGTTCGCTCGCGAAGGTGTGCCGCTGGAGCTACTGTCAGATAACGGCCCTGCGTTCCGGTCGGGCCGACTCGCCGAGTTTTTGGGTCGCATGGGCGTCAAACAGACGTTTAGTTCGCCCTATTCGCTGCAGACAAACGGCATGGTCGAGCGGCTGAACCGGACGGTTAAGGAAGCCATCCAGTCGGCTCGCCTGGCGAGGGAGCCGCGCTCGGCGTTTGTCAGAAAGTTCCTGGGTGAGTACCGGGTCACGGTCCACCCGGCGACCGGAGTGTCGCCCTTTGTTTTGATGAGGGGGCGGGAGGCGCGGACGGTTCTCGATGTGACCCCGTCCGGCCGTGCTGCCGAGGATCGAGCTGTCCGGCAGCATCACCAGTCGTACCAGGAGACCTACAGGGCCCGGTATGACCGCACCGCCACGGCCGCCCCGCGATGGGAAGCCGGCGACTGGGTGCGAGTACGGAAGCCCGGGACGGGCCGGGTCGAGGGGCAGCGCTCCGTGCAGGTGAGCCGCAGGACCGGTCCGGTCAGCTACCGGCTGGCCACAGGTGAGCGGGTGCACGCTAGGCGCCTGGTACCGGGCCACCCGGGGGACGCTGATCGCGAGGTGCCGGTGACCTTTTACCCAGTTGGGGGTGAGCCCGAGCCTACTGACCCAGCCCCTGTGACCGTGGACCCTGCTCCCACCGATGATGTGTGTCCCGAGCCGTCTGGGGGTACCAGTCCTGTCCCAGCGGCGCCAGTCGGCGCCGCCTCAGACGAGCGTGCGGCCCCGCGCCGCAGCCGTAGGGCGCGTAGGCCGCGGAAGCGTTTCTCGCCGTAGGTTGGGCGAGTTTGTGCGTGTACAGTTTAGCTCGGCACCGCACCTGTGTCTGGGTGTTTTCATAGGGTGCGTTTTCCCTCAAAGAGAGGGGTGGTGTTGTGGCGTGAATTTGAATTTAGTTGCGCTGTTCAGTGTTCGTATCAGCTGCGCCAGAATTGTGCGAGGTTGCTTTGTTATTTTTAGAGAAGATAGTCATCGGCATCGGCCCACTACGGAGTGCAGGGTGGACTTCCGGTGATGGCGTCGTAGGTGTTGGCCACGTGCTATTTTGGATCTTGTTGTGCGGCGGCCAGAATACATGTCCGGCAGTTCCGGTGATTGTTTTCGGCCGCCCGCCTCCCACCAGGCCACGGTGCAGTGAGGCAACACAACACCCCCAGCTGTTTGACGCAGTTACGTTCAACGATTTAGCCTCCAGCGGGCATAAACTAAAATTTTACGTTGTTGGGGGAAACGTTTTTTTCTGCAATAACTTCTCACACTTAGCTTATATATGTTACCTTGATCTTACCTGCATCGTGTTTCACATGTTGGGACGCGTCGAATGAGCTATAATTCGACATTCAATAAATAGCATATTTTGAAATTTAGCCCACGCCCCGTAGGGCTATATGGGCGGAGCCTGCCACCCGTATAGGAGAGGGGGGAGGGGGGCTTTTGGCTCCTCCCCTAAGATCTCGGAAAGTTACCACCCGATTTTGAAACTTCAAACGGCGTTCAATAGTACTCACCTTGTGACCCACTTTCATTGACCTAGGTCAAACCGATGACGTCACAGGTCAGGTCAAATGTTGCATCTTCACCGTTTACAAGCATTTCAAGAAATGTGTTGTTAAGTCGGGTAAAAGGCATGTTGTATCGAAAACCATCGATGGAGAATTGTTCATGAAACACATTTTGCTATCTGAGGTCACTACTATATACCAGGTCAGGTCACAGAGGTCAGGTCAATGAGGGTCACAATATGAAAAAGTCGTGTGATGCATATTTTATGGTCCATTTTACATGACAGATGCGATTGTGCGGGTAAGGCAGCCTTTGGGGCTAGTTTAGGTTATGTTCTAGTGAAATTCAGGTCAACGTCAGGTCAAATTAGATCAAATTTCAAAGTTGATATTTTTGCATAAACTGAGATGGATTCGATGCAGCTCGTCACAGGGAGCCTAATGGTGGTCTTTGTGTTGCGCTAAGTGGTCTCAACCTGCTAAAAACTGAGTTTGAAAATTTGACGTCATCAACTTTTAGCAGTTTCTTTCGCTACAAATTGGCCAAAAAAGAGGTATCGATCTCAAACTTGGTATGTTGATCGAAGACGGTATGGACTATCATATACATATATTCCGTGTGTTTCGAAATACGGAAAACTTCTTGGATTTATGGCTATTATATCCTAAACAATATTTTTATCAAAATCCAAACCTTTTTAAAATCCGAAACAGCAATTTTATAGCCTTATTGATTCTGCGTCTTTTCTGCCTTGAATTTTTTTGTATCTTCAAAGTTGTAGGCCTGGCAGCTCTTCTCACGAAATCTTTTTGGGGTTGAAAGTGGTAGAACACACGACGTCATTCTGACGTCATATGCGGTCAACCTATCATAGTCTCTGGAAAATTTTCGGTCGCAATGGGTAAAGTTCATGCCCAGAGGGGTCCTGAAAGTTTGGTGAGGCTATCTGCCGTCGTTTTGGAGATATCTACGGAAAAGGACAGGGTGTCCGTTTCGGCGCTCCCCTTTACGGGGCGCGGGTTAACCGAAGGTCAATGTCAAACTTCAAAGGTTATCCGACCGGAAAAGGTCATGCTGCAATACCAACTGATTCAATCGCTGACCTGAACATATTCAATGTGCTATCACTTATTATCCCTCTAAAACGTCTCTGTCAAAAGTTATCGTCAAGAACTGCTGATTACCTTTTATGACAAAGATGTCCTCAGGTGTCTAAGGTAGTCCATGGGTGCAATACAATAAGCGATCTAATCGCTTTCACGAAAAGCACGAGTGAAGCCTCAATACTTTAACACTGACCAGTTGAAAATATAGGTACAGCTCGAATACAGCTGGAAGCACATAAAAAATTCACGACTGCCTGCTTTCCATGTTGTCTCGTTTGTTGTGTAAGGCTTAGGATGTTTGTCTGGATGTATCTATATATAGGTATTACCTATAAGAGATACAGTAAAGGCTAAGTAATTATAACAGTGGTTTTCATTGTCATTATGATTAAAATTTTGATTTAAGTTAACAAGTCGCTTAGCCGCTCACGCTGGGCTTACGAGGGTGCGTCTCACCCATTCACCTTGCAGCCATGATCGCGTGACTCGCAACACAAGACACCCACCACGTTGCACAATCTTGCCTTGCCTAGCGTGAAAAAAAAACACGGGAAACGACGTCTCGGGTTTCGGGCTCCTGAGCAATAAAACTGGCTGGACGGTGGCGACCGAAGACGGTCATTTCGTGGCTTACCTAAACCTACCCAGATCTGTGTCAGCGATGTATGTATAGCTCCATTAGCTGGACCACAACGACCTGTGCAACGTTGGGTCCCGTGGCTGCTGCTGTGTTGACCTCTAGGCTCACTATCAATTCGCCTCACTTAGATAGGTATGGATTCGGGCTATACTGTCTAGACAGATCATTGCAGGCGAAGGGGTCGAAACTATCAGGTGCATACAGACTGCTGTAGCCCATGGGCTGGTCAGTCGGTCGAGTGGTTGAGGTGATACCAAGGCTCTCAAAAGCGTGACGTGGCCGGGTTAAACCACTCACAGGCCATACTGAATACTGATAAGTTTCTCACAATTCACAGATTGGCTCGGTGACTCGCTGCAGTCGCCATGGTTCATTTCAAGCGTGCCAAGGCGGTGAGCGTCCCTACCTTATTTTAGTTAGGTCATTAAAAATTCACCAGCAGTTTTCGACTGCCTACAATGAATATTGAATGTCAAAAATATGTCAAAGAATGTGTCAAAAAATTGCCGGTGACACATTAAGGTTATAAAATAGTTCACCGTTATCGTCATTTCGTCGTATCGTCAGATATTCCAAAAGAAGTGTTTATGCTACAGCGACATTATTCGATGCGTCAAGCCCAACAATACGGATAGGTACGTACGCTGCTCGACGTTTTCCAGGCAGATCATGAGTCATGACTTTGACCTTAAATTAATTTTTCCAGATGATCTTTAACTTTTAAGGTCAGCTTCTAGTCTACCATTGTTAGTTACACGAGCCTCAGTGAACCTCACTCAGTGACTTTTTTTAATTACGAGTATTATTAGTTTTCTCAGAAAATTTGCTTCATAAAAGTATCCATTTAGACGGTTTTAAATTATCCGGACGGCAAACCTTCCTCGGGTCTAATTTAAAACACAAAAGCGAGACATGCTGAAGGGAAATTCAATATCTTCCCTGGTTTGAGACCTTGATTAGTGCAGAGTTGTGAGTTACTCTGTCAAACGTCAAAATCGCGACCATTTGACCTTTTATGACACCTGGCTAGGCGCCCAGCCTTTCACCTGACATGAAACGACTGAAGTACCTTGTACATGATTTTAACTTTCGACCGCCTCTTATTGCATTTGTTGCTATCGTGGCCCTGAGGTCGGCTTAGAAGAGGGGCATTATTTTGGCCAATCGCCTGTAGGCGTATTACGATCGGGCCAGGTAGGGAGTCAAGTGACCTGTGTGATCTCGGTTGCAAGTCCCCAATTCAGTCCCCTATCAAACCGAGCTTAAAATTGTTAAGCACAGCTTTCGGGTGAAAGCAATGCAGACGCAGCTATCACAATTTCTCATCCTATTATTTATGATGGAGCTCACAACATGAAATGACATTAGGCCACAATAATAGGTACAAATCTCGCGGGTTTTAGCGGTAGGTTTTGCACCAAGAAAATTTAGTGTACTTCAGGCTATATCTTCGTCGTCTTAAGCTTTTAAGTGTTGAAGATGCGATCGGCTTGTTGGTTCACAAATCACAAGCCGGCCATGATCGTGTAAAATGGCTTCATCGTAGACGATTAGTTTTTGAGATATAACCGGAAATGTAAAAGTGCAAAACCTACCGCTTAATCTCGCAGAGCCGTACCTACCACAAGATTCACGAGCATGCACCTCTCACCCATCCCCGAAAACTTCAAAATAGTCGTTGATTACATGTATACCTAGCTTTACCATTTACTTTCATTGGGATTGGGTCATGCGGGTATTCCATGTGACTCAGTGTCCTCAGTGATCTGATAAAGAAAAACTGCGGCTGATATTTCCACATGGTGTAGGTTCGGAAAAGGGCCGAAAACCTAAGGGCTATGAGCGATATAGGGATGCCCCGCCCCCAGGAAACCCCATTCCGTGAGTTTAAAAGGAAGGAAGCTATGGGTCGGATATTTAGAAAAACACTCAAGTAGTCACTATCTCGGCTTGAAATCACACGATATGACGATCATTGTGAGGTATCTCAATCTTATGTGGCGCCGAGATTAATAGGAAAATCTTTCACACTGATTTTCCGTCAGTCGTCACGCCCGAGCACCAAAACAGCACGCTACACCACGCCCGTTTCCACGAAGGCCAAGCTGCCCGAGACTATTATGCCGACAGCTGCAAACTGCAGCAGGCAGCAGCTAACAGCTGTGGGTACTTGCCGAGCAAAAAAATCACAAGCCGTGACTGGCCGACTGGGACTGAATATATGCCGAGTGCTGAACACTGCAAGTACCAAGGTTCTGAGTACTGACCCGCAGCTGATGTGTTCCGGTCTGCTCGCCGGCCGCCGGTCGGAGCTACCCTGCGTCCCGCTGGCTCCCGTCCGCCCCCTGGCCGGGCACGACTGACAGCTGCCGAACGGGGCAAGGTCGGTACCCGTCCCCCACCGCGGCCCTCGGCTGCCCGGCCCCGTGCATTGCAGCCTGCGGGCGGTGCACTTATTCCGCGGCCTGCGGAGGCGGCCGGGCCTGACGGGCCGCTGCCGGGCCCGGCGGAGGAGCGGCGCCGGCTCGGGCGGCTCGTGACTGGCACCGGTACCCGGCGCTGACCGCTCCCGTCACAGACCGACGGACGCTGAGAGGGTGAGACACCGGCGTCGGCGAGCGGCGCCGTGCCGTCCACCGACGACCGCTCAGACACCACCATCTGAGCAGGGAGTCGCACTGAGATCACCACAGTGACCACCGGGGGCCGACGCCCCTCCACCGCCCACACACCTCACCACGACCCAGCCGCACTGAAACTGTCGGCCGCCCGTGCCCCGCGGCCGCCCGCCGCGCCGGTCCGCTGCAATCGTAAGCAGTATCGCGCCGGCTAGGTGGCGCTGCACCGTCTGGGGCTTTGTGAGTACCAACTCGGTAACGGTGATGACTAAGCCGGTGAGATATGGTGAACTGAGAACGCCGGATGCTCGACCGTACCGGCTTATCGAATGTCTGACCGAGACGGGGATAGGCTAATGGATGTATTGGACCGGGGGCGGGAGGGGCAGGAAGTGATCTCAGCTCCCTCCGAGCGTTGCACGGGCCCATTGGGGGCACTCCTCTCGCCCGGCCCGGCCCCGATCCGGTCTGAATTCTTCAAGACCGGTCCTGGCGTATTGAAAGATGTAGAAGGGAGGCCACCGCCGGGTCCAGCCATGAGATATACGGGGGAGGGCGGGGTATATCTCGAGCAGAATTTTTGAAATAATTATTCGACCGTTTAACTTTGTTGAATGGCACGACGCGTCAAGCCTTCGGTGCAGAGAACTGGTTGTCAAGCAAAGCGTGCAAAGCAGCAAAATACTAATTTTTTGTTGTTTTTTTTTCTTCTGGTTTTGCAAGGCGTCGGGGCCAAATGGGTCAACTCATAGGTCCATAGCCACAATGGATTTAGGAGGTTATAAGCGTCTCCCGAATACGCTCGTGTTCATTGTGGTAAGTTCACTGCGGAAGTTTATTCGTTATGTCTGAGACCACAACAGACACCAAACCACGACCACTACCAGTCATTGGGAAAGGGTCCCATCGGAAATTCTGGACCAGGTAATCCCTGCAGTAACGTTTCAGTCACGGATCGCATGAGGACTGTCCCCAGCAAAACATCCCCGTCCTCCATAATATCGGATGTGTTTCCGTAATTGCGCCGGTACCTTGCCGTACTGTGTAGGTAGGTACTGAAACCATATCGACTACCTAGGCATTTCTGCATGTCCCAATAGAACTATATAACCTCTAGTAGATATCTTTCCTCGGCATTCAAAGTCCATGGTTCCCGGTAACGGTACCCTCGATCTCAGGTATCTGACATTCGTGGTTGAGCTCCTGCACTATAAATGCGTTTTTGAGTCTAGCGAGTCTTGATCGAATGGGTTTAGTCTTGGTGGATAATAATGTCAAAGTTTATTGGGCGTTGTATCGTATACTAATTCATAGGCACTGTAAGTAAAAAAAAAAGGCTAGGTACGAGTTAAAAAACAGCTCGTATCTCCGTCCAAGATACCTGGGTCAAGGAGTGGGTTTCTGATCCGAGGCGCATAATCTGCAGGCAGTGTTGCTCGCTTTCAAGGAGTGTGTCTGTGAGTGGCTGTACCGAAGAGTTATATGCCCTTGCACGGAAGTGGGTCCCTGAGCCGAGGGGTGTCCTCAGGTCGAGGGACGTCTCTGCACCGAAAGGTGTCCCTGGACCGAGTAGTGTCCCTGAACCGAGAAATGTCTTGAGATGAGAGAAAAAAAATCAATCGTAGCGCCGACTCCCATTAGTTTCCCTCTACACCAGCCCCGTCCAACGCCGAATAGACACCCCAGTCAGTTATATATAGATAGGCCCCATGCTAGATAGACACCTGAATGGCACGCATAGAATATTTATTTCCTCAATCATGCACATTCTACCGCTGCGGTAAGGCACTTATTAGCACACATATGTTTGATGCAGTTACACATAATAAGGTTGCCACGCTGAAGTGGCTTGGAGTGGCACCTCTAGCATCCTCAAACATAAGAGGAAAAAGCCACGCACTAAATCTACGAATAAATACCAAGGCAATCGCATGCAACGCCCACTGCGTTATAACAGCAGATTCCCCGCATCGCTATCGTATTAGTATAGCTTGGTACAACATCAACAACCGTCGTCTGGCAAGCATTGCTGCATTGGAACTAATCCAAAACAAATATTCAACATGCCGAAAAGAAATAAACACGAACATTAGATAAAATTCATTAGTCACAAAACAGTATCATTCTCGACTCTAGCGCTAGCTCTGGACAGAACACAGCACTTTTCCATAAAACAGTCGCCGGCACACGACACCACATTGGGTCTGCCAGACTTCCACTATCCTACATGACTAAACGACACAGCTCGCGCGGCCGGCAGCGCCGTCGGCCGGTACCGCTGTAGGTGGCGCTAGCGGCGCTGCAGGGACCCGGTCGGCCGTCTGAGGGCTCGGGATGCTGGCTCTCCCGTCTCCTCTGACCAGCGCGGAAGGCCATGCAGCGTAGCCTGAGCCAGACACTCGGTTAGTACAGAGACAGTTAAACAGCTGTTAGGGGTCAAAGCGGGGTCGATATAGAGCAGAGCTATAAGCGTTGAATTAGTATGCCGCCGAGCTTGCTAGTTGCACTTAGTGATCTAAAACTGGATGGTGCACCACTGAACATTGACCGGCAATGAAAAAAAGCTTCAGATATTGGTTACTTATTGAGGCGGCTAAAACAACCGTGTTGACCAATTATCGCATGATTGTTTACACTACATTAAACAATAATAACGGTTAGATTAATAATGTTTATCGAACATGTTTAATACCGTCAACGTAATGTTCAATGCTGCACCAAGAAGCGAAACCATATGCACGCCCTCTCTCTCTCTCTCTCTCTCTCTCTCTCTCTCTCTCTCTCTCTCTCTCTCTCTCTCTCTCTCTCTCTCTCTCTCTCGCTCTCACTTTTCTTCTATCTTTTGAATAAGCTACCAGGCATACTGATTCAGCAACAGGCAAACTAATGTTAGTAAAGAACACTAAATACAAAGGAATGTCAGCTTAAGCTAGAGTTATAAAACAAGTCAAACAAGTAAGTTAATATGCACTTCTACAGCAATCGGAAACATGACGCACATCATGCTAGTACGCAGTATCTCGTCAAATATACCGGTATAAAAAGTATAAAGTCTCGCAAGCCTCCACTGTTGCACATGGATTTTTGACTCTTCGCCAAGGTTGAAGGTGTCTGTACTGGAGAGCACACTGGAATTCCAGGATTCAAGCTTGGTTCAGCCCATTTGTTTTGTAAAAAGCGGGGCCATGATTGTAGGCCTCACACTGCCATCGACACCGCATATAATGAGCCCATGGTGACCACCGGATTTCCAACAGTGAGTGCCGCTGTAAGGTATCTATATCCAAAGAACGTGTGCAGTTGGGGACTTGGGAGGTGAAACTTGTGGCCAGTGATTGTAGGGGATTCATACTAGTACCTAAATGCAGAAGACAATAGTCCATACATCCTGATAAGCCCGGTTGAATAAAGTTCAGTTGAAGTTGTAGTCCATATCAGTCAAGACTGGTACAAATTAAAATGAAATACTTCTCAACTTAGGATACGTTTAAGAATAATTAATATCAGTACAAGTGGTTCGTAATGGGAGCAGGCAGCGAAATTCATTGCTGCTTTGCAGAATATCATTCCCGAGTAGTCTGTCGTGAAATAATGAAATCATGATGCATGATGGAATAGAGTACATACAGCTAAGAGCCCATCACCGAGGATGATTTCATGACCACCACCAGGTTCTGGTCCCTTCACCCAGCTGGGAGGGGGGGATGCAGTGATGGGGTCACCATCCCACCACCAGGGCTAGGCTCCGCCGTCCGACTCAGAGCACCAGGGCAGCCACCACCAGCAGGACGGCCAGCATGGCCAGCGCGGCCGGCACGGCACCCACGGCCAGCAGCTGGAGCGCGCACACCAGCACCGAGCCGGCCACCCACAGGTCAGAGGTCAGCTCACCTTTACATCCGAGCTCGGGCGACGGCGGCCGAGAGTCGGGACGAACGCGCGGCCGAACAGACGCCTCCTCTCCGGATGGCGCAGGGCGGACCGCGGGAGACTCGGCCGCAGCAGACTCGCCCGGAGGAGACTTGGCTGCAGGAGACTCAGCCAGAGGTGACTCGCCTAGACGAGACTTGACTGCAGCAGACTCGCCCGTAGGAGACTGGTCAGACTGGCCGGGAGAAGACTCGTTCCGCTGTTTGACCGGTGATGATCGGAGAGATGGACTGCTCGTCTGTGTCGGCTTCACGATGGAAGACTTGTCCTCGTGTTGAGGGGCAGCAACACGGGCCAGCGACTTCTCCCCGGCAGGGGGAGTGTTCATTTGCTGAGCACTAGCACCAGAGGGCAGCGCCGGCACTCTAGCAAGAGGAGAATCCGCCTTCTGAGCAGGAGTATCACAGGCCTGCGGCAAGTCCACAGCTGAAGGATTGTCCACTTGTTGAGAGCCGGTAGCACGTGCCAGCAGTGATTCCCCAGCAGGAGCCGGATCGGTTCGCTCGGGAGTAGCCGGCACAGGCCTTCGACTGTTGGTCACAGCAGACCGACTGCTGGTGACGGGAGCAGCCGCCGCGTCCATATCAGCCAGCGCTCGCACAGTCTCGGAGAGCCGCGGCGGCCGGTGCCGGTCTCTTTTAGCTGGAGTCTGATGTAGCAGCAAGCCCTCCAGCAGGGTGTCCAACTGGCCGTTGTCACCAGTCCTAGCTGGAGAGGGTGGCGCAGTGGCCGCCCGTGAACCGTCTACCGGGCGCTCAGATTCGCCATCCGGTTCCGAGTTCACCCGTACAAACGGCCGTACCTTAGCAGAAAACTCGCCACTGATGCGGCGCTGACCGGCCTCCGTCAGAGTCTCGGTGCTGGTGGCCAGAGAGGCTGGGCGTCGACGGCCCGCCCTTCCGCTCGGGGTAGTCCCAGAGCCCTCAGGCTCGCTCATATTACCGACATAGAGATCGTACAGACCGTAGGAGCGTTGCGACTCGGGGCGCGGCCGCAGGCGCACTGAGCGCGCCTGACGCGCTGCAGCTGCCGTGGCAGATGCCTCCTCGAGCTCACAGTCTGAGATGGAGTGACCTCCACAGATACACAGGGAGACGGGACGCCCACTGGGCTGCTTCGCCTCCGACTTCGCCACCAGAGACATTTCGTCCGTGAGGTTGTGCTTCTTGAAGATGTAGTCCGTCTCTCGGATCAGCGCGTCCAGTGCGTTTGTATCGATCGGCGTCTTTTCATCCTTGCGGAGTGCCCTGAACGCCAGGTCATCCGCCACCAGGTCGGGGTTCTTTCTCGGCCTGAAGGTGGGGCGTGCCTGACACTGTGCCGGCGACACGTGCAGGTAGTCGGAGGCCGCTGCCGGGCACGTCGGACCCAGTGGGATCCCGAACGGCGGCTGCGGATCAATGATCCTCACGGCGTTGGCGTGGCGGTTGTTACGGAAAGTCACGTCGTCCAGGGTAAGATGCGGTTCTCGCTCGCCAGCCAGTGGCGATTCACATTGCACACTGTCCGTGCTGGCGGTGGTCGAGAGCACAGGGGAAACCAGAAGGTAGCTGCCGCCCTGTGAGAGCACATCACTCAGCAGGTTACTGTTAGGGTTCTTCTCGTTGCGTTTCAGTCTGCGGGTGAAGACATCGTCCTCCTTTTTGTTGGGCATAGCCGAGCGGCGGCGTGAAGGAGCGCGATACCGCGACTCTGAGCCGCCAAAAGAGGCGTTGCTCAGTTCCCCAGAGGAGAGGGTACGGTTTAAAGCCCCCTCGTCGACGTCGTCCACTGCTGGCGCGGTGTCGGACGCCCTCCAGAGTTCCTGGTGCGGCGTTGGCAGGTCACGGCGCTCAGCGCGGTCCAGCAACTCATCATCGTCCAGTCGCAAACTCCGGTAGATCGCCTCCAGCTCGTCCAGTGCCTCCTCGAAGTTCTCCGAGCGGCGCTGCGCCTGCTCGGAGGCGGGCCGGGGCGGGGGAGGGGTCCGCTCCGGCGGCCGTTCGGTCACCATCGAGAGCGGCCGCCGCTCAGCAGCCGACCGGCCCAACACAGAGTCCGAGTCGGCGCAGGAGAAGCTCGTGTTGGGACTTCGCGACGCAAGCGGCTCCGAGACGTTCGACAGTCGCCAGCCGGCGGTCGGCTGCAGTTTGGGGACCGGCCGCCCGTCTGCCGGCGCCGCCCGCTCGTCCCAAGCTCGGTGCATCTCAGAGCTCCGGTTCGGTTTGGGAGGTGGCGCCGGCGGCTGCGTCTGCGGGTCGCTCAGGAACGCGCTGTCCTGGCTGGGGCAGCGGCTGCGGGCACTGGCCGTCGCCGGCGGAGAGAAGTTGCCCAGCTGATCGGGGTAGCGTGTCGGGGTCGGGTACAGTTGCCTCTTGTACTGCGCGATAGACTGGTCCGATCCAGAGAGCCGCTGGACAACTCGAAGCGGCGGTCCGGCGGGCGCAGGTCGACCCGCTCCCGAGGTCAGGTCACTGCCGTCCGGAGTCACCAGCCTGTCCAGAGAGTGGCATTTGACGCCCTGCTCCGGGTACATGGTGATTCGGATGCGTGGGTCTCGAGGCGGTGGCGGCGGGGGCGGGGGCCGATGACCCTGCCAACCCGCCGGCGAAGACACAGACGCCACCAGAGGTGGGTGAGACGCAGGCACATGCGGACCTGAGTGAAGAAAGCGCTCATCATATAAGTGCACCAGCGAAGAGGACGCCACCTGCATGTCGCCACCGTTCAAGGCTGACAGTGAAGCTGATGTCTGTGCTGCCGTCGAGTGAGGCGGGTGGGGGATATGTCGAGGGCGGACCGGTGGCGTCACGGGACCACCATTCTCCCCCTGACGGCAGACGACTGTGGCGGCCCAGGCGTTCTGAGCCGGGGCAAGTCTCGGTACGGGCCTTGGTGCGTCCAGCCGGAGCGGCGGTGCCGGCTGCTGCAGACTGGTGCCGTCCCGTGACCGTCGCCGCTGGTAGCGCTCGGTGCGAGCAGCGCGCGACCGGCGCCTCAGCGAGCCGTCCAGCGGCACACTCAGCTGGTTGGAGACGTGCTGAACCGGAGCCGGCTCCTCGTCCTCCGAGCTGGCCGTGTTCGAGCGGCGCGCCTCGACACGAGCTTTGACGGCGCTGCGCCGCGCGCGCCGGCCGCCCTCGGAGCCACTGCTGCCGGCGGCGGCCCCGGCTGCGCCCGCTCTGTGCTGACGACTTCCAGAGGCGTCCGAACCCGTCTGCTGACGGCGCGGTGTCGCCGCCTCGTCACTGCTGCTGTCACTGCCGGCCTTTCGCCGACGGAACAGCGAGTTCCAGCCCTTCCACAGGGGCTTCTTTTTGACGGCTCCGCCGGCGGCCGGCGGCGGTGGGGCCGCCGATCGGTCCGGGACCGGCTGATAGAACGACGCTGGTCGGTACTGGCAGTCGGCGGTGACCGGCGCACGCTGGCGGCTCTCCTCGGGTCGCGTCGTCTCCTGTGGCAGTCGGCCACTCCCGTCCGGAGCCGACTGCAACACACAGAGCAAACCCCAGTCAGTTAGCGGAATATCACAGACATTACGGTGATGCGGTCAACCGGATGACACAATACTGTCGGGAATGACGCACACTTCATGCAGTTGACGTGATCAGTGATGAAAGACGCTGGTCACCGGAATGATAAACAATCCAGCCAACAGAAAGACGCACACTTCAGTCCACAGAATGACACACGATTCAGTCCACGAAATCGCCCAAAAGACATCTGAGTCAACGGAATGGCACTGCCGACTGTGCCATCCCCGTGGCGAACATTGCGGAGCATAGCATAACCGGGTCGGCTCCAACGGCGGACACTGCCGACTGAAATGCATGGTCCTTCAGCGGTTCTTACCATCACGTCTATATCATTCGTCGATAAAGCGAATTCGATACAAGTGCGATCAAGCAAGACTGTCGAATAAAACTTTTACCAATGCCCTTATCACTTTTTGTACCTGCGGATAATATAATAAAAGTTACTCGACAAGTTATGCATAATTTAAGCTCCCATATGACGGTGCATTTTACACACTCAACTGTGATTCAGATATACGAATATGCGTCTCTGTTTGATAACTATGGGTCAATGAAAGGTACCGCAAACAGTACCATGTCCCCGGTTTTCAGCGATGTTTGCACCACTGCGGGTCGTGTATGTATGCCTGTGTGTGTAAGTGGAAATGAGCCGCTGTGTGCGCCGGCCGCCTGTGACTGCCACCTGTGTCGACCCCGCCCCCCGACCATCACCGGGTCGGAGTCACAGCTGGGCGAGGTCAGCGCCGTCACCCCCCCCCCCGCCCCTCCCCCCTCCGTCAGCTCCACTTCCCCAGACCCAAAATAGAGCCGAACCGGCGCGCCGCCACGCCACCGGCACTGCAGGCTGCACCGGGCCAGCGTCAGCCCGAGCCGAGACCGAGCTGTGATTGGTGGAGTAGCCGCAGTGTATATGGTGGAGCGGCCACAGCACCGGGTCCAGGGGTCCCCACCAGCTACATTATCTATACATAGCTGAGGATGGCTCTGGCAATGCACATTGCATATGCAGCGTCGTTTAAATGCTGCTTAAACATGAGAAGAGGCTGAATTTTGAAAGTTGACCCAACCACATATTATGAGCACGTTATGAGTTATGAGACCATGTTAAATATTTAATACCACCACCGTAGAAGGTAAACAAGCAGATCGGTGACGTTAGAGCCCCTCGTGTGTTCCGTGACCAAACGGGTCACGCGACGTGGAGAACGGACTAGCCCGGCGCCTGGCGCGAGACCATTATCTTCAAAGCAGGCGAAACGGAGCTCCGAAAGGAATAACATCAAATTAACGCCTCCAACTCTTCGGATTTACTGTGAAATATAAAAAGATGAAAATCCAACCATCAGTTTGTTGATTTTCAGGAAGACCTGGTGGGTAGTAGGTGAAAGACATGCTAAAGAAAGTTTTGAAATCTCGCCGTATTCAATGAGTTTAAGTTCAAACTTCTTCCTACTTTCTTACGATAAATAAATGAACAAGTTTTCGCCTTGTTATTTCTTGAAGGCTGATCTCGCTAAAACAGATACAAACGGAGGAAAATAAAAGAGCTTATTCATTTCACAAACAATTATTCACATCAATATCCGTTGTCGGGAGTTAGCGGCTGTATGGGCGTGCCCGGCGCCGGTAGCGAGTATATGACGAGCCGTGCTGCCTGGCCGTGCCCGCCGGCTGTATGGTGAAACGAGCTCCAGACATCAGCGGATCGATCAGCAGTGAAGACTGTTAGTGGGACAGACAGGGGGTAGCGAGGACTGCGGGGTCAATGGGTGAAATGGGGACAGGAGGGCCCGTCTCCCCGGCCGAGGGGTGTGTGCTTCCCCATCCCCTAAAGTTTTTTTTTCGCACACGATTGCTCGGAACAGGGTCTCGGAACGCGGTGGCGATGTACGGCCGAAAGTTGATCTAATCTTGATCGACCGAATCTAGTGACATCAAACGCGTTTTTTTTATCAACGCTGACTATAATGTACATACTTACGCAAAAGCCATTTGTCTTCAAAACATTAGAAAGAGACTCCTGCGCCTATACCAATAGATACCTACCTATAGTTCGTTTTTCTTAAGTTTGCCCCTCACTGTAAAAGTCTTTTTGAACACAGCACGAGAATTGCTAGCTGAATTACTTAGAAAACTGGTTGGCGCACATTGATTTGACCAGATTTGACAGACGATCAATTTGATCAAATTTATATACTATTTCACAGACTCGTTGCTCGTATTTGCCAATACGTACAGCCCCACAGGGATAGACGACTTCTCAGGAATTATGTCTGAACTAATAAATAAATTGCACGGCGCTTAACATAACGTTAAATCGTCGGTGTTCAAAGCTTATTTTGAAAATATTATTCATATCTACAATACAATGTGCGCCAACCAGTTTTCTCAGTAATTCAGCTAGCAATTCTCGTGCTGTGTTCAAAAAGACGTTTACAGTGAGGGGCAAACTTAAGAAAAACGAACTATACCTGTTTATTTTTTTAACAAGAAACATTTTGGCACGACAAAGCTTTACGTAGCCAGCGGTAGCCGGCTAAAAGATAAGTGTCCTTATTGTACAGTTGACTACAAATGATGTTCCACTTTTTACATGCAATTAGTTGCCTTGAAAGGTAGGCTGCGCCGCATCACACGGACTCACCATACACATTTACCTACCTGCGTGATAAACGGTGCAATTAGCATTCAAGTCAATTGATAACTCCTAAGGAGTGGAATAGGTATTATGTATTCTGCAATCTGCAGTCAACTGCACATTGCACAATCATAGATGGATGACTCTATTCATAAGAAAATGTAATCGATCGAGAATCGAGATGTTAAAATCGCTCAGCCATCTGCTTAAAGGATTTATAGGCATGCATTCAATCCTCATCTGATTTAACTCTTCCGTCTTCCGACCCTCTCCTTATACACAGTAAGTATACAGAATTGAGTGGTCCATTTTTTTTTTGTTATACGAGTACATGGGACATATATCATTTTACGTGTTCGCACGTTTCTTATCACACGAAGGCTGGATTTGGAAACGCATAGGTAAATAATGTGCGCTGAAATAGGTCGAATCGCTATTATCACTTGACATGGTCTCTATAAAAAGGTCACAGGTCAAAAGTCACTTGTATCAGGGTCATGCTTCTTTCATGGAAGGTGTAAACTTAATTAAGTCGAGGGCACTGAAAGTTTCGTTGCGATCCACCGCTATTTACGCGAGCTATTCGTGAAAAACGAGTGGACTTAATAAGTAAAGGGCTAAAAGTTAACTTTTTCCACACCCGTAAACGATAGGTAGGTATATATTCTATCGCGGGTTCATCTTTTTTTTTAATACAGACTGTTTTGATGAAAAGGAACAGTGGCGAGGGCGGGGAGCGCAACCTTTCAAGCTCTTATTTTCACCCCTTAGGCTCGGAGCGTTCTTATACAGATGTATTGTAAGCACGAACAGTCTGTTATGATGTGCATAGGATCTCTAATGCAGATCAGTTTATTTGTTCCTATCAACAGCGTAGTCACTGCGCAATACGTGGTTACCAGTAGAGTTCTGCACGGCTGCAATTTTCCACAGCCTAGCCGCCCCGCAGCCATGGCTCCACAGCCACAGCCGCCCACAGCCGTGGCAAACTGTGGGCAGCCAGCCGTCAGCCGGCCGTGGATACTTTCAATGAAATGCAACCAAATAGTATATAGCAAGTTGTTTTTAGTTGAAACATATAGCCAAAAGCACATTGCAATGGGCTATAGATTCTCAAGCTCATGAAGCATCATAAGTTAAGTGGTTGTGTATCTGGCTTTAGGCCGAAGGCCTGAAGCCTGATGCGCATCGCATGCTTACCTACACAAGCCCTTGCAAGGGGTTAAGAAAGATGGGTAGGTAGGTACCTACATCAACAGAAAACATAAACAACGAACCAGAATAGAAGCACTAGCAGTGTAGACATCTAATGCCAAATCCTGAAGCATGGTTGTGGGACAGAACAACAGACCCTGATGCTTTTCATTATCAATGTTAGGTATGGAAAATGAAACTGAAGTTGATGGACTGTCAAACAGTGATTGTCTAGTCAAAACTCTTGCTTCTTTCTTACCTTGCATATTATTTGGGGTGTGATATGCCAGGCTTGAAGCAGCCTTCTGAGCAAGTCTCAAACTAATTTGATATGCAAGGCATCAAAACACTAGTGAGCATCCAAGAAAGAAAAACATTCAGCTATTTTGATTTTTCCAAATAATGATATTCGCTCAAATCGTCAAGGACGTGCGAGCCACAATTGCCTCTTTCAATCAAAAATTTTACTTGAGTTTTTAATGACGTCAATAGCAAAGAAGTGGCAATAAATTATTTTGTGTCACTATAAACAGCCATAAAAATTATAAATAATAAATAATAATGCTATACAACTAAAAACTTGCTCTCAAACAAAGATTAATGGTCAAATTTTAGCATTTTTAGAAGAAGACGTCATTTTATTAGTAAAGTCAACAGCTCGCGTAAGAAATATTGTGTTCAGGGTTTTCACCATCATGTGGATTACGTGTTCAGGGTTTTCACCATCATGTGAATTAACCGTGAGTAGGGTTCGTGCTCACTTATAATCTAATTCCATTGGCTTCTTTGATCAGCATTTTCTGTTAGCGGTCACTCACACACCAGTTAGAACATAAAGCGCCAGTTTTATATTATGTAATTGGACTTGCCGAAAATCCAGAAATACGTCTAAGAGTTATTTTAGATAATATTTTATGAAGCCTTTACCTGCCTTTACCTAGGCGTGATTTCTTTTTCTATTACCTGAAAGAATTATTGAACGCTCGTCTTCAATAGCTGTAAGGTGCTCTCCTAATGACCAGGTGAGATTGATTTGAGAGGGATGTGACAATGCAACATGTTGCATTTTCTGAAACTGCCAAGCTCTTGATGATGAAGGAACAATTGGTACATATAATT